AGTCACGATGGTTTCCAGGGGAAACCGCGTGGAGGTCGACCTGATAGGGTATATTGATAGCGATGAGGACTAACCTACCCATTACTAACAGTCCCTTTCCCCCTTACAGTTGATATTAGGTTATTATACCTCCATATTTTAACCCACATGGCGTACAAATCTACTTTTAATATGTATACTAGTAAAATTGCATTATTATAATAATAACATTAAAATATACAAAGTCTTTAACATAAACGTAAAAATAACTGCTAAAATATAAAGTTTCATACCAATTAACACCCTCCGTGACATGGCGGTGGGCAGGTTAGTTTAGGCAAATGGAGTTCCGAGTTCGATTTCCGATCACCTCATTTTTAGAAACGAACGTTTCTAAATTTTATTTTTGGAATCAAATTTTTTTTAAACGGTTTTATTTAGCTCGACCTGTACGGTATTTATTTATTTGGGTCAAAATTAGAAATTGGAATTTAAGCACCTTCCCGTTGTCAGATTGATCTGAAATTTGGTACACACATTTAATTTAGATGACAATACAATATAATAAAATCAATAACATTATAAATCTAAGATGGCCGCCGATACAAAATGGCGGATTACATATTTTTCCTTAACCCCCGCAATATGGGTATCAAATGAAAGGGCTACACTAGTAAAACAGGATGATTATGTCAAAATTTAAAATTCAAGATGGACGCCGTTCCAATATGGCGGACTAGGTACATATTTTTCCACAACCACCACAATATGGGTATCAAATAATAGGACTACACTGAGACACCCAGACACTAGACACTCGGACACTAGACACTCAGACGCTAGACCCTCAGACACTAGACACTCAGACACCCAGACCCTAGACACACAGACACTAGACACTCGGATACAAGACACTCAGACACTAGACACTCGGACACTAGACACTCAGACACTAGACACTCGACACTCGATACTCAGACACTAAACACCAGACACTAGACACTCAGACACTCGACACTCAGACACTAGACACTAGACACTCGACACTAGACACTCGACACTCGACACTCGACACTCGACACTCGACACTCGACACTCAGACACTAAACACTAGACACTAGTCACTAGACACTCAGACACTCGACACTCAGACACTAGACACTCGACACTCGACACTCGACACTCAGATACTTAACACTAGACACTAGACACTCAGACACCCAGACACTAGACACTCAGACACTAGACACTCGGATACAAGACACTCAGACACTAGACTCTCAGACACTTGACACTCAGACACCCAGATACTAGACACTCTGATACTCGACACTCGACACTCAGACACTAAACACCAGACACTAGACACTCAGACACTCGACACTCGACGACACTCGACACTCGACACTCGAAACACTAGACACTAGACACTAGACACAGACACTAGACACTCAGACACTAGACACTAGACACACAGACACTAGACACTCGACACTCGACACTCAGATCCTAAACACTAGACACTAGACACTCGACACGACATTCGGATACAAGACACTCAGACACTAGACTCTCAGACACTTGACACTCAGACACCCAGACATTAGACACTCGAAACTCGACACTCGACACTTGACAGTCGATACTCGACACTCGACACTCGACAATCGACACTCGACACTCGACACTCAACACTCGACACTTAGACACTAGACACTCAGACACCCAGACACTAGACACTCAGACACTAGACACTCGGATACAAGACACTCAGACACTAGACTCTCAGACACTTGACACTCAGACACCCAGACGTTAGACACTCAGACACTAGACACTCGACACTCGACACTCGACACTCGACACTCGACACTTGACACTCGACACTCGACACTCGACACTCGACACTCGACACTTAGACACTAGCCACTCAGACACCCAGACACTAGACACTCAGACACTAGACACTCGGATACAAGACACTCAGACACTAGACTCTCAGACACTTGACACTCAGACACCCAGACACTAGACACTCTGACACACTAGACAGACACTCGACACTCGACACTCGACACTCGACACTCGACACTCGACACTCGACACTCAGATAATAAACACTAGACACTATACACTCATACATCAAGACACTAGATACTCAGAAACTGGACACTCGGATAAAAGACACTCAGACACTAGACACTCAGACACTTGACACTAGACACTCAGACACTCAGACACTCAGACACTCAGACACTAGACACTCAGACACTAGACACTCAGACACTAGACAATCAGACACCCAGACCCTAGACACACAGACACTAGACACTCGGATACAAGACACTCAGACACTAGACACTCGGACACTAGACACTCAGACACTAGACACTCGGACACTAGACACTCAGACACTAGACACTCGACACTCGACACTCAGACACTAGACACTCGACACTAAACACTCGACACTCGACACTCGACACTCGACACTCGACACTCGACACTCAGACACTAAACACTAGACACTAGACACTAGACACTCGACACTCAGACACTAGACACTAGACACTAGACACTCAGACACCCAGACACTAGACACTCAGACACTAGACACTCGGATACAAGACACTCAGACACTAGACTCTCAGACACTAGACAATCAGACACCCAGACACTAGACACTCGGATACAAGACACTCAGACACTAGACTCTCAGACACTTGACACTCAGACACCCAGATACTAGACACTCTGATACTCGACACTCGACACTCAGACACTAAACACCAGACACTAGACACTCAGACACCCAGACACTCAGACACTAGACCCTCGGATACAAGACACTCAGACACTAGACTCTCAGACACTTGACACTCAGACACCCGACACTCGACACTCGACACTAGACACTCGACACTCGACACTCAGACACTCGACACTCAGACACTCAGACACTAGACGATCAGACACTCGACACTAGACACTCAGACACTCAGACACTAGACACTCAGACACTAGACACTCAGACACTAGACACTCAGACACTAGACACTCAGACACTAGACACTAGACACTAGACACTCGACACTCGATACTCGACACTCGACACTTGACACTCGACACTCGACACTCGACACTCGACACTCGACACTCGACACTCGACACTCGACACTCAGACACTCAGACACTAGACACTCAGACACTCGACACTAGACACTCAGACACTCAGACACTCAGACACTCAGACACTAGACACTCAGACACTAGACACTCAGACACTAGACACTCAGACACTAGACACTCAGACACTAGACACTAGACACTCGACACTCAGACACCTTTTTGGCCTCAGTTCCGTCGAACCCAAATGTACGAAACAGATATATCATCACTTTTAATTGACTTTGGCACAGACGGCATGCACGTTATTTACCCTAAAGCCATACAGTTTCCAGCAAAATTCAATTATGGTACGGCTGAAAAAAGGATGTTGCCCTTAGTTTTGTCATGAGCATTCACCGTCCATAAAATGCAGGGCAGCACCGTCGACCATGCAGTAGTATATTTGGGCTCAAAATGGTTTGAGGAAGGACAAGCATACGTGGCTCTAAGTCAAGTCTCTGGAAGGGCTATGTATTGAGGAATTAGATTGTACTAAATTATCAGGTAAGAAACCATGTAATAATGATGCACTGAATGAATTCAATAAAATGAGGAATATTCGGTAAACAATTTCACTAAATACTAAAAACAAGAAAATAAAAATCGGTAAAAAAACTTTTAAGTTAAACGGTTTTATTTTATGTGCACTGAAAACTACAAAATAAATAAATAGTTACTTACCTATCAACCTACGTAGGTGATCTCGGTCATTAATATCTCTGATGGTAGTGGTTGTCATAACATGAACCATGTCAGCGGCCGAAAGGCAGTTCATGAGAGAACACTAACACCAGGGTTTGCTTGGTAGGTAAACTAAGCAGCCCGCACTATAACAAGTAGGTATTTTGACCTTCTAGTTCAGAAATATTTTAGTACTAGGCAGAATAGCTTTTAGGCATATTAGACTAAAATAAAAACGTGGGGCCCCTCTGAAATCATACCTATAGCAGAGCATATCTTATACTTTGGTAGATCATGAGCTCGGCGTTCGCTGGTGAATCCGTAACGGCTGGTTATTGATGGTCAAAACCTCCAGTTACGATTATAGTAAGTCGATTCAGCGGACCCTGGACTCCGGAGCTATGAGGTTTCGGATGCGACCGGGATAAACCGCTAGGATGATGATGATGACGATTATAATAAGTCGATGCAATCCACACTTAGTATAGTAGAAAGTAATACAGAAATAGTTAATGGGCCCCACGTTTTTATTTTAGTCTAATATGCCTAAAAGCTATTCTGCCTAGTACTAAAATATTTCTGAACTAGAAGGTCAAAATACCTACTTGTTATAGTGCGGGCTGCTTAGTTTACCTACCAAGCAAACCCTGGTGTTAGTGTTCTCTCATGAACTGCCTTTCGGCCGCTGACATGGTTCATGTTATGACAACCACTACCATCAGAGATATTAGTGACCGAGATCACCTACGTAGGTTGATAGGTAAGTAACTATTTATTTATTTTGTAGTTTTCAGTGCACATAAAATAAAACCGTTTAACTTAAAAGTTTTTTTACCGATTTTTATTTTGTGCAAGAAAGCTGACGGCCCACCTGATGGTAAGTGGTAACCGTCGCCTATAAACATGAGCAGTACCATGGACATAACAGTGTATACTGTTTCGCCCATGATACACCCGTATACATTTCTAAATTGGGTCAACTCCAAGTGTCCTGGGTTGTGCCCCTCGCTGTTCCTAAGTTCATTACTCTTAACACCGGTTATTTTAACTTGAAGAGTAGGTGATTAGTGTTAGAGTGATACTTATTAGACTTATTATTATTATTAATGTAAATGTCCACGCGCCACGTGCCAATACTAACTTGTTACTATCAGTTTTACTGAATACAGTGATAAAGTCGATAGTTGGACGTGTCTATTCGTCTATAACGCACAATTGTACACAGCCAGCGGCGGCTAGCTGGCGCTGTGAAATTATTAAATAAAAAAAAAAATATAAAAAAAAATATGTCAACTCAAGAAAAAATCGATCTGGACTTGAACAAGCCTAGTAAGTACTTATTTGTTTTTATCGCTTTATACGATTTTAATTCATTTTTAAAGGAAATTTAAAATTAGATGAAACTAGCTTTGAATAGAAAAACTCAATAAAATATTAATTAATATAAAAATAAGACATTTTTTTTTATTTAAGTAAACTTAATTATAAGTATTTCTAAATAAATAGTATTATTTTTTTATTATTCTATATATATATTCTTTATTTATTGCACTTGTAAGTGACATATAAAATAATGTATTTACAAATGTTGTGAGCAAGGGTGGACTTATCTCTGACAGAGATCTCTTCCAGTCAACCCAGTACAGTGAGAAAGCATTTCGTTAGCGGGCAGCTGAAGTGCGACAATTATTAATACATAAACAAATGTACAGTTAAATAAAATATTAAAATATATAATAAAATATTACATAAATACATATACTATAAATAAATATAATACCTAACTAATTATAAAAGGAAAAAAGAATTATTAATAGGATTCTTAAATCTTAGTGCGGTATAAAACTTATAACGGTACTTCAAAAACAATATAATTTTCGATTTCTGTTTTTAATTATTAACTCGCACAGGTGTTGTGCGCGTAACACCTGGTGGGAATGTACTATATTGCTTCCATAATAAATACGTGAATATGTGCAAACAATGTTGACTCAGACATATTATTGGGCTACCTTATGAATACTGTCGACTGCTTAGAACTCATTTTACACGTCAACTGATTATCATCTTGGCCTCGACTGTAGCCTATCATGATGTTGAATTACTTATAATCATCATCATCGTCATTTAAGCTATTATCCGTCCACTGCTGGGCATAGGCCTCCCACATAAACTGCCGTAAAGAACGGTCCTGAGCCATCTGCATCCACTGACTCCCTGCAATGCATTTCAGGTCGTCACTCCATCTAGTGCGGGATCGTCCTTACATGCGAATATGTTACATATTTGCGTATTGTTTAAAATACTTCTTGCATTCTTATAAATACATGTTGAACTAGTCTCAATGTATTTAGCATTAAATATGAACCCACATGGTTCCCCAATCTTAATAGAATTGATACCAGAGGGAGACTTTGTACAAAAGTCGATTGCTTGGGTACCTCTGTCCAATTCGTGTTTCTATCGTGAAGCAGTTGTGTTTGCATGACTGTGTTTCGGTTTGAAGGGTGGGATATGGCGTGAATTTACAGGGTACAGAGGAATAACACCTAAGTCCTCAGGAATGGCAACGCATGGGGGGGGGAGGGGTATCATGGGCGAAACAGTATACTCTGTTATGTCCATGGTACTGCTCATGTCTATAGGCGACGGTTACCACTTTCCATCAGGAGGACCGTCAGCTTGATTGTCATTCTAAGTTGTATAAAAAAAAAATGTCTTTAATTTTGAATTTTGTAATAATTTTTAAAAAAATTGACGTACTGTACCGGATTAGAATAGGCCACCTTTACATTTCCAGTGGGTGTCGTAAGAGGCGACTAAAGGAACTTTAATGTTCGAAGGATGAGCGGCGACGTCCCTTGTAAAACATAATTAAAAGCCTAAATGCGGTTGCCAACTCGCCAGCCAAGCGTGGCAACTTCGGGCAAAACTCCCCTTATGGGGAAAACTTATGTCCAGCAGTGGACAGTTAACGATCGATATGATGATAAAGAATAAAAAAATAAATATTTTTTAGAGTCACATAGAAATATTTTTATACTATACTATTATAACTAATGTCAAACCCTTAAAAACAAAATATACACGATTATTTGAAAATGCATTTTTAAAATTGCACGCACGCAAAATCGAATGTTCTATATAAAACGGTAAACAATAGAGGCCGTTTGGATCACGATTCAACGGAACAATGCAATAAACTGCAGTGAACTCTGATCGTAAATAATACACTCTTACACTGCTTTATGTCGCAGACTGCAACCGTATCTGCAATAGAACGTATCTATTGACTAATAAATATGGCGGTTTATTTATGGACTTGAAAAAGAACATAGAGAATTGAGCCTCAAAAACGGGGTCCACTTTGTATCAGCTAATTGTCAAATTAGCTGACTCATTTTTTTACTAGTGTTCTATATACTTACGAATAAAATGTATCTTGACGTATTATTTAATAAATAACCAGAGGGAGACTTTGTACAAAAGTCGATTGCTTGGGTACCTCTGTCCAATTCGTGTTTCAACCGTGAAGCAGTTGTGTTTGCATGACTGTGTTTCGGTTTGAAGGGTGGGATATGGCGTGAATTTACTGGGGGTACGGAGGAATAACACCTGAGTCCTCAGGAATGGCAACGCATGGGGGGTATCATGGGCGAAACAGTTTACTCTGTTATGTCCATGGTACTGCTCATGTCTATAGGGGACGGTTACCACTTTCCATCAGGTGGGCCGTCAGCTTGTTTGCCATTCTAAGTTGTATAAAAAAAAATCGCCATGAGGAAAGCTGAGTACTAAAAAGAAATGGTCACGAGTTATCTACATAATATACATATCTAACCTTAGATAATAGATTCAACAACTTTATCACATCAAGATTACCATAAATGATAAGATATGGATGGATAAGAGGAATATCTTTAAGATGAACAAGCATAATAAAGTTCTTAATCTCAAACGCTACTTGTATACACCAGTATCAGTGTTGAGTGTAAAGATCTTTAAATTGTTTTATCAGATAAATTGATTTCGCTTCGTAAATATCGAACAACAGCATCTATCGTGTCGCAATTTTATTTACATTGACTAGTAATCTTTAAATCGAATAAACACCATTGACCGATATAGCCCCAAGAATAAGCAAGCTCAAGTGGCAATGGAGTGGTCACATAGCTCGAAGAACTGACAACGGATGGGGAAAATAAGCGACTCAATATAATATAGGCAACTACAGTTGAAGACGTACTCTTCTCTAGATGGAGTGACGACCTCAAATGCTTTGCAGGGAGTCGGTGGATACAGGCGATTCAGAACTGTTCCTTATAGCAGTCTATGAGGGAGACCTGTGTCCATAGTGAACGGATAATGATACGATGTTAATAAAACATCTATTGATGCAGAGATGATTAAAAGAAATCTTGAAGTAATTAATTCAAATCTTTAAATTAAATATTTAGAAGATTTATTTAGAGAGAGGCCTAGTGTTAAAAAATAGTGTCTAATCTTGTTAAGAACAATTATATTCTAAATAATCCAACCTCAACCTCAACCATCCATAAGTCGCTGGTTCATATCCGGCTCGAAGGACCTTTCTGTATATGCCGTGAATGTATTTTTATTTATTTTAAATAAAAATCTGCATTTTAATCAAAGTTTGCATTTTTTTCCATATTGAACAATTTGAATATTATTTTTAATTTTACATAAACTGTCAAAACAATGTTTCATACAAAACTAATAAAGAGGTTGCATTATTTAAAATATAATTGCTCTTAACAAATCTAAAAGTGACCATAGTCATATAGAAATATAGACGTAAGATGCAAAATTTTGCATCGTAAAATGCTTCAGTCTCTTAATTCCGATAGTGTATTAAAAATATGCTTCAATATAACAAAACTAATATAAATCAGACAAGGTAACCCCAAGTACTAACTATATGAAATAAATCAAAATCAGTAAAGATGCGCAACGTAACATAAACAAAAGACAGACAAATTGGGAACGTCCTCTTGAAGAATGAGACAATCATAAAAATGGGAAAGATAAGACGGTAAGAGAAGCAGTATTCAGTAACTAGGAGATTGTTTATAGCATCTTAAACCAACCACTGACCACATTTAATTATATTTTTTATATAATTTTATTTCAGAACCGGGCCTTGGATTCCGGCATGTGCAAACAATACTATTGTTCTTCGGCCTCCTGCTCGCTTACTGCATGAGGGTCAACATGAGTATGGCTATTGTAGCCATGACTGATGGCAGCGAAAATGTAAGTTACGATCGAATGATCAGATTCCCTGTTGTTTTTATCTTTTACCAGTAACTTCGTCCGCGTATCTGGGATATTATTTTACCAGGATAAAAAATCTATGTTTCTGCCTTTGTTCTTTTCCATCCTAAATCTATGAGTACACCAAATTTCATGACGATTTGTTCAACCATTGAAACACTAAGAAGTAACAACCAATTTCGCTTTTACATTTATAATTTATGGTTAATTGAACTTAGCAAGTGAACTTCAACCAAAATTATACGAAATGTTGCATCCGAAGAGATTTAAGTATACCATGTAGTCCGTTGTCTTATATACCGCATCAGCACACAGTTTAGATTTTATTTTTATAAAGAAAATACAAGATATTAAAAAAAAGTAATATAAAAAGGAGTTATACTGACTTGACACCCGGGCCGATGCCATCCCTAGTTCTCATTCTTTTAGAGGAAGCAGTAGAATCATTCTGCATATAAAGGGGGTAAATATAGATATTTATATGATTAATATAGATTTATACATACGGGTATGTATATATCATATAATCGGGGTAGGGCGGGACCTTAAATCTCTTCGGATGCAACATTTCGTATAATTTTGGTTGAAGTTCACTTGGTAAGTTCAATTAACCATAAATTATACTTCAATGTTGCATCCTCAAGATTTAAGTATACCATGTAGATGTTTAGCGATTATATGCAGAATGATCCTACCTATTCATAGGTAACATTTGATATAATCTAAGAATAAAAATATAATGACAGATATGACAATATGATATATTAAACAGATATAAGCATACAAAAAAATAGTCCATACTCGTTTTTTATTTATTAATAAATGTAACCAATTATATGTATGTAATTTGTTAGAATCAAACCTAATCTCACAAAAGAAAGCAAAAATCTTTCATTTGTAATCCTTGATTGAATATTGCTTCAGCAAAGACCCTATCCTGCCTAGGATCATGTATTGGTAAATTATAAAATTTTGGGACGCATAAAGAATTACCAGACCATCCTGCGGTCTGTTTTATGATATCTACTGATAGTCCAGCACAATGTGCTGCAGACGCCGATGCATATCGCGTACTATGTGATATATGTACGTCTATACCTATTCCAATGACTTTTAGTACATACTTAATACATCGACTAATCGCCTGAGAGGTCGCGTTGTGTTATGGCTTTTTAAAAGTCAAGATGAGTTTATTGGTATTGGGTAGAGAGCGATGTTCCTAAGTTTTAATTAAATAATCAGCCAGGATCTTTGCTGGGCAAATATATTCTTCTTCTTTAAAGAAGGGTATATATCGGATTTTTATTATTATATGTTGAAATTTTAATAATATCTGCGATTGGTACAATTGCAACGAAGTCATTAAATAATATATTATTAATTTCAATCAATGACAATGTCTGTGCGCGTTGTGTCGTGGATAACGCGAGCAGAGTCACAAGTTTTTTACATAAACAATCAAATTTTAATGTCTCATTAGAATAATGATCAGCTAAATATGAGAGAACTAAATTCGGATCCCAATATTTATGATATTTAGGTAAATTAGGTTTAATTTTAAAAACAGCTTTGGTAAATCGGGATATTAGGTCGTTATTACATAATTGTTTGCCTAATATTAATGACAAGGCCGATCTATATGTATTTAAGGTGCTGTAGCTGGCACCATTATTAAAGTTTTCCGTTAGAAAATTTAGTATAATTGATACTGATGCATTACAATAATCTATTTTGTTAATATTACAAAAAAATAATCCAATTTATATATACAGTATTGTATTGTTGCAATGTACTCAAGGAAAGAGATTATATTTTAATTTCTATGGTATTAGTGGATAAAAATTGTTTCATGAAGCACACCAGGGTAAGTCTTGGCCATAAAGGGTGATTCGTTCTGGAAGGGGACAACAAAAGATTTGCATTAGGTGGGAAAATACATTACATCAGAACAAGTCAGTGCTAGAAAACATTGGGTACCAAGGCTGACTTGATAAGTAGGTAACTACTAAAATACCAGTAGCTATATTGTTCACAACTTTTCTAAGGCATTTCGTTATTAAAAAAAAGGTGGGAATGCATAAAAAAATATATATATAAGATCCACTGTATTGTAAATGCATCAATTTGGAACGCCTCTGGATCTTGTGAAACGAATAAATCAATATCCATCCATTCCAATTTACTTGTTATTTTTTGGTATCCAGTTGTATTTAGTTCCCATTCAGTATCTATATTTGTTACTCTAGATGCTCTATCAGCTTCAGTATTTTCTCGAGATTTTATATAAGACGCAAAAATGAATAGGTTTCGTTGCTCACACCAGAACCATATTTATAGGTAATAGAAGTTAGTTGTGGAAATTGTACACCGGCCGTCCTATTTATGTGCGATATTGCTGTGGTATTATCAATAAAAAGCAAAACCAGATTTTTTCAAATATTTACAAAAACTTTTTATTCCTAGGAATGCTGCCAATAACTCAAGACAGTTAATGTGATTCTTACGTTCGTCAATAGAATAATGACCTTGTGCTATTTGCCCATTACAATAAGCTCCCCACCCTGTGTGAGTGTGGAGTCCACCAAGTGAGAAGTCTGTAAAAATCTCTAATGAATAGTGACCCTTTCATATTGGATTATTCGCAATTCTAATTTTATTTTTTCACCATTCTTCAATGAAATTATGATTTATATTCATTTTTGGGTCATAATTATCCTGATGTTTTAATAGATGAATGTATCGAACTGCTAGATATACTGACTGATTTATGGTACTAACATACTCATACTTTGTAAATTCTTTATTTACGAGTATTACTATAGTTTTTTTTTTTTCTTTTTTTTTTTTAAGATTCTTTCTGTCATATCATACAATCTAATTCGATTTTATTGAAGTAATTACAATATAATATCTGTTGAGTTTAATATATAGCCGAGAAATTAAATATTGTTTGTAGGTATCAAGTTACTTTTTTCGTAGTTAATTATGAAACCTAAATTTTTAAAGATATCAATAAGGACATTGACAGTGTTGACACAGGCATTGTATGAATCACCAATACATAATAAATCATCTAAGTATGCTACTATTACATGCCTTTTATAAATAAATAAGATAAAATAGGTTTTAAAAGTTTCGTGGATATATAAGGGGCCGAACGTAAGCCATAAGGCAAATATGTATATGAACTCATATAACTCATCAAAACGGAATCGAATTTTTTTTTTTTTTTTGCTATATATATGTACTGGAACTAAAAAATACGCCTCTTTGAGGTCCATAGTTGCCATAAAGAAACAGATATCACAATTAATTGTGATGCCGTCCTAATATCCTACATTTTGAATTTAGCAGTTTTCATAAATTTATTTAAACTTTTAAAGCTTATAATAAATCTAAAATTGCCATTACTTTTGGGTAATAGGTATGAGAAGGATAGGAGATAAAAATTGATCAATACGCTCTAGACAAGGTTTAATAGCACCCAAGTCAAAAAGTTTGGCTCTTGTTTTGTTCATTTCTAATTCTGAATAAGGTGGGTTCGCCGGTTCATTCGATTGATATGGCTTGGTTTTAAAGTGTATATTATATCCTTGTATGTAAGAAAGGAAATTAGGATCGGTGGTAATTCTTAATTAGTTATGTAGGAAATGTTTAATTCTACCGACAAGAGGTATCTCTTAACGACGGCCCCTCCTGTCGTAACTACTGCTCGAATGAGACGGTCGGCCGCATTGTGCTAGTGCTGGCGCCGGCGCAGTTGCTGGTCGCCTCCGCGCACACTGCGTCTGTGATAACGCTGGCTTCCGATTGTAGCGAAAACTCGAAGTCGGTGGCAAGAACGAGCGCCCCGCACCCGTCTGATGACGGGGGGGGGGGAGGGACGCACACATTCCCCCCGACTGATTACTAGTGTTAAGTGAAGTCACATTATGCTGCTGAAAGGCGAGCTTTTTAATTGTTGTCCAGATTTTTCTATTGTTTTTTTTTTTTTTTTTTGTTTATGTTTTCACTTAAATTGTTGCCAAATAGGTTAACATTTCGTTTTATACCTTGAATAATATTCAGGAAACTGTTATCTATCATTGGGATTATTAGACGATGTCTGTTCATTGTTTCCTTATAGTGTAAATCTAGCACAATTGATTTATTTCGGATAAATTCTGAATAAGGTGCATCTTATTTAAGTTATCTGTTATTATATCCGTAGTTAATGTTGCAATTCCTGCTATTGCTGACTCAAGCTGATTTTGTGATTTCTTTAATCGTTTGTATCGGTGTTTAGCTTGTTCTATCAAAACTGCGGCTACCTCCGCATTTAATTATTAATTAAAAAATTTCTGGAATCAACATCTTATTCTGTAAATATTCTTTCACTTCTTTACTCAACCCCTCCAATAATATTTTACCCCAATGTTCAGCGATTTCCCCTGGAATTTTCTTGCCGAGGAGTTCAGTAGACCTTTTTGACTCGCCTAAAATTGAGAGGATTTCCTCTGAAATAGCAGCTTCCTGATCGGTAGGCAAAATTTTATCGGGACCTACTGCTGCAGTTATGTCAGCTGACACATCAGTACCAGCCGGTACTGGAGTGGGCGCATCTGCTAAAGTGACTTCAGGGGCTATTACCACCGATTTAATTCATTCGGTATAATCATCCTCGTCCTTGGACAAGTAGTCTTCTAAAGGATATTCATACTCATTATCTGTCTGTGGGAGGTATGAGTCTCCAACTGCGGTTTCTGAGGCGTTAAAAAAGCAATACTGAAGATCTTGCCAAAGGTAGTCATAGCCTGTTTTATTAACTTTCGGGATGATATCTCGTATCACCACATTAGGAAAGTCAGTAAATATATTTCCGGATGGCATCTCGTACCACCACTGAGGAAATATGAAAGTAGATCACAGTATATGTAATCATAAAAATAATAGTCATTTCCGGATGACATCTCGTGCCACCACTGAGGAATGATCAGTATGGAATGATTTAAAATTTCATTAGGTATATGATTGTGCGTAGTCAGCATCAATTTGTAGTGCATAATTTTATAAATACTATTTTATTTATCATTCATTATTATTTAGAATGTTTTATGTATGCCCATAAATTACGTATTCGAGTAATTTAAAGAGGAATAAAATTCCATTTACAAGTACGTAGATATATTTTTACTACGTGGGTAGATGAATTATTGGGTAACTGGTTAGAAAATACCAAGTACCTAACAGCTTATCATGATATAAAATCCATGCATACAGACAGAAATATAATGGATAAAAGGAGCAATAAGGTCATAAAACTCACCATCCAATCCATTGCTATTTTCATCATTGCCCGGTGAATATTGACGTCGCGATCGTTTAACTTCCTCTTTCTAATTTTCTTAATTTACGCATTAACACATCGGCACTTTTATTTTGCTTATGTTTATTTTTTCCTATTATGAGTAAAACGATAGTATAATAACTTATAAAACGTGTAACTATCCTAATTTTAATAATTTATTTTAAGACCGTGTAGTTGATGCGGCACACAAAACACGAATGAGAACTAGGGATGGCATCGGCCCGGGTGTCAAGTCAGTATAACTCCTTTTTATATTACTTTTTTTTAATATCTTGTATTTTCTTTATAAAAATAAAATCTAAACTGTGTGCTGATGCGGTATATAAGACAACGGACTACATGGTATACTTAAATCTTGAGGATGCAACATTGAAGTATAATATTAGAAAAGATTGGTAAGGATGTTTCCATACTCTACAATTTCAGTGTTATTTCCACTCACTCTTTACGTCGAAACCAAAACAAAGCCATAATATAACTATGTACTACTTGATTGAAGAGTAAGCCAGAGATGGCCGTGCAGATATGAGTCGTATGTTGTTTTCTCTGGTATCCACGATGCTGCCAATACAGCAAATAATATACTGGCAGCATTGTGAATATATATTTAATATATATGCGTATATAATTATAGTAGCTTACAACATGCCTACCATATTAAGAGTGGTACATACTCGTCATTGATTTAAGAAATCTTATTACGCTCTTTTTAAAGAAGTCTTTAGAAATATTTTAATAGAAACTATAACTAAAATACTGAAAAACTTATTTTCAAAATGTTATTTTTAAATTTAACTCTAATTCATATATAAATACTCTCTCTTTTTTAGATATAATATACATTTTTTTATGGGTAAAAATGGAATGGTAACCCCGCCTGCGCTAACAGGATATGCTGGCCGAGCACTAATGAAGGATGATCGATGAGAATGAAAACAGGCCAGTTACCCCATCATGATAAATTCATCAGGATTTAACCATGATAGTTCCTAGGGGGAACCGCGAGGAGGTCGACCTTGTTGGGTATATTTCTAGCAATGGCATTCTTAGTCTCCATTACTAACAATCCCTTTTCCCCCGATATAATATACATTAGGTCATGTTACAGGTATTGTCTTTTGGCAGAAGTTGTTTTTAGCTAGTAAAAAATTCTTATTTTCCTTTTCAGTCCTTTGATTGGAGTATACAAATCCAAAGTGTGATATTATCCTCCTTCTTCTGGGGTTACGTGGTGCTCCAGATACCTGGTGGGGAGTTGGCTGCCAAATTTGGTGGAAAACTCCTGTTCTGTTTGTGTGTTGGCATTAACTCTGCCACATCTATTTGCATACCCATCAGCGCTTATTATGTAAGTATTGTCATCATACCAGCCTTTAACTGTCCACTGCTGAACATAAGCCTCCCCCTAGAGAGGTTTTGCTAGTAATTGCCACGCTTGGCAGGCGGATTGGCAACCGCAGTCAGGCTTTAGAGATGTTTTAAGAGGGACGTTGCTGCACATTCTTGGCTCTCTTTAGTCAGCTCTTACGACACCCACGGGATAGGATTACGTAAGTATATGAATGAAATAATTTTAATAAAATAATATAACTTTCTCTCCAAAAGTAAGTACATTGTGTTATTATTATTAGTTTTTTTATGCAACTTAGAATGGCAAACAAGCTGACGGACCACCTGATGGAAAGTGGTAACCGTCGCCTATAGACATGAGCAGTACCATGGACATAACAGAGTATACTGTTTCGCCCATGATACCCCACATGCATTGCCATTCCTGAGGAATCAGGTGTAATTCCTCTGCACCTAGTAAATTCAGGCCATTACCCATATTAGTACCCATACTTCGTTGTTTAATTGTGATCTTTTTATAATATTTAGAATGACAAACAATTTGACATTCCACCCTTTGGAATGTAGTAACCGTGCCAAACAGACATGAATAGTACTACATGACAATATGCCCAATAAGGTATAACTGTTGATACTAATGTCAAGTCCAAAGCAATGTTTACAGCAGGCACAACGCAGGGCGACGGTTCAACCGGCCCTGCACGGTCGACGACGTGAAAAATATTTCCCCATTTCCCATTTCTCCCACAAGAAATGTTTCCCCTAGCTGACACTATTTACAATAGTGTCGGCTCGGCCCTATGGGCCGAAAACACTGACGCGTAGGCGACAGCCTACGCAGGACGCTCGGGCAAAGAGCAATTGCTCGAGGCCCGTACCTGCAGCCCCGTAAAGGGCTGCGGATGAACCTCTGTTATGTTATGTTTACTGATATATGTATGTAAACAGTAAGCAATAAAATTTTATTCTATTCTGTTTCATTCCTCCTCCTCCTCCTCCTCCTATCCTCTCCTCTCCTCTCCTCTCCTCTCCTCTCCTTTACTCTACTCTACTCTATTTTATTCTATTCTATTCTGTCCTGTTATTTTCATTATGCAGTTTATGCTAATGATTATGATGTCATGTTGCCCTACTATAGTTTCATCACCATACCCATTCTAATCGAAATATAGTCATACAAGTACTGATGTTTCGAGACAGAAACACGAGTTAAACAAAGACACCCAAGCAGATGACTTTTGTACAAAACTTTCTTCTTGTAATGGTACAATCATCATTCATCATACCAGTCCTTAACTGTCCACTGCTGGACATAAGCCTTCCCAAGAAGTTGCCAGTCGTTGCCAGATTGTTAAATTTAGCTCTTACTGCAGGGTGGCTGGCAGTTGGTATGTGCATGCCGTGTTATTCAGGGTCTGTCGCAAGGTTTCCTCTATCCCTCTATACATACCCTCATTGGGAAATGGGTGCCTTTGGAGGAGAAAACTTCATTGGGAACGTTAATTTACGCAGGTGAGTTGAGTGTAATAATTGTAAAAAAAATACCATTGGATATAAATGAATAGCAAATTAACCAGAACTTGTATTATGGATATTTATTTTTAATGGATGAAAATGGAATGGTAACCCCATCTGCGCTATCGGTATACGCTGGCGGGATACCAGTGATAAATGATAAGTAAAGATGAAGACAAGTCAGTTGGCGTATTGTGAAGAATTTGACAAGAATTAAAAACGATGGTTTCCAGGGGTAACCGCGTGGAAGTCTTTTTTTTATACAACTTAGAATGGCAAACAAGCTGAGGACCCACCTAATGGAAAGTGGTAACCGTAGCCTATAGACATAACAGAGTATACCGAAACACAGCCATGCAAATATAACTGCTTCACGGTTGAAACACGAATGGGACAGAGGTACCCAAGCAATCGACTTTTGTACAAAGTCTCCCTCTGGTCGACCTAATAGGGTATATTTCCAGTAATAGAGTTGTTAGAACCCATTACTAGGAATCCTTTTCCCTAAGAGGAATAAATTCTGAGAGCTCAGTTGTTATTCCTCTGTATATCATCTATTGTTATTCATCGATTATAGAATCATAAAAAAATATCAATTTAAAGGAGTTTTTGTTTAAATTTATTTAAATAAAATTTATTTTGTATTTCAATAATTATTACATATAAAAAACATCTAGAAACACCAATCTTCCCTATCTAATGCATGCTGTAATGATCAATTTATAAAAATTTCAGGTTCACATTTGGGAACTGCTCTGGAATTGTCAGCTGCTGGCTTAATTGCCGAGTACTGGGGCTGGCCAGCTATCTTTTACGTGATTGGCACATTAGGAGTTATATGGACTACCATCTATATATTCGTCGGTGCTTCTTCCCCTGAAGAATCTAGACTAATCAGTGATGCGGAGCGGAATTATATACACGAGTCATTGGGTCATGTTGTTGGACGCAAGGTATGATATTTCATTTTTCTTTTGTTATTGTTGTTTTTTTCTGATATATTTTTTTGTTTTTTACCTATTGTTTTCGGATGTTTGTATATTTACCCTATTATATTACCCTAAATGTTAATTTATGATATTAACATAATTATTAATGTATTAAATATCAAATAAACTTATTATAAATTTATCAATGACATGTTGATGACGTGGTACAGATTTTTATGACCTGTTGATTATTATTAAAGAAAATTTGCTTATATACTGCTGCATCTTGTCACGACAGGAGGAAAGCAACTTTATCCCTGTGTTATTTTATCAATAAAAGAAAATATAGAGTCATTTGCATAAATACCTCTATCTCACACATTTCTGACTACAAGACTGATCGCACACTGTACTTTTATTTCAGCTTCCATAAAACCAAGAATTACATCATAATGACTTCGGGTATTAATTACCTAATACTAAACATAGGCCTCCCCCATAAACTGATGTTGGAACGAATCTATAAGGAAAAAATGTTAAAAGAATTCTGATCCATTAACTCTCTAACATTACATTTTACTGTTCGCTTCTGCCACTCGAGATCATTTCTTCCCCATCAGTCGTCGGTTCTTTGATTTATATGGTTGGACCCTTGTTACTTTAACTTGCTTGTTCTTTGTTCTATAGCAAACAGTTCGTTTGCTTGACAAAGTGATGTATTAGTACTAGAGGGAGACTTTGTACAAAAGTCGATTGCTTGGATACCTCTGTCTCATTCGTGTTTCAACCGTGAAGCAGTTGTGTTTCGGTTTGAAGGGTGGGATATGGCGTGAATTTACTAGGTACAGAGGAATAACATCTGAGTCCTCAGGAATGGCAACGCATGGGGGGTATCACGGGCGAAACAGTATACTCTGTTGTGTCCATAGTGCTGCTTATGTCTATGGGCGACGGTTACCACTTTCCATCAGGTGGGTCGTCAGCTTGTTTCCCATTCTAAGTTGTATAAAAAAAAATTAGATATGGCTGGAGAATTACTGGCTATTGTGACTCAACATCATGTCGTAAGGATCAGAAATGTGTATATAATGCTTCTGATTTTGATAGTCTTCAAAATCTATTGGGTGGAAAATAAATTAAGACTTTATTAACGTAATTATAGATTTTTATATTTTATGCACTAACATTTTTTAATTTATTTTTGCGCCAGCTACCCACTTCTATTTGATTGCCCTAGCGATAAGACGGCCTTTTGTACCTTTATGTATATATTTTAATGCACTTTATGCTATTGTATTTCACTAGAATTATTTATTATTAGTTTCTGGTGCAATAAAGTGTTGAATAAATAAATAGTCATTGTACAGATAAAAGTAAATGTTGTAATGAAATAGTATGAGCACACTATATTTTAATTTTACTGTTTTAATATTTTTCAGAAATTGAGAACTCCATGGAAGTCGCTCTTTACCTCACTACCGTTTATATCTTTGTTGATTGTCCACTGTGGACAGAATTGGGGTTTTTGGACTCTGATGACAGAAATACCTTCCTATATGAATCAAGTACTCGGTGTTAATATGAAATCGGTAAGTTTTTTTTTTTATATTCTTTTTAAGCGTTTTCCCAAAAGACGAGTTTCTTAATTTGTCTATATTTTTATGGATATGTTATAGGATTTTGTTGCCAATTCTGAAATGATTTTGATAATTCTTTTTAATCAAAATATCATACCATCAAAATAGTTTACTTTTTAATAGTTTACTTTATTGACCCCTTTTAATATTGTAACATTTGAGCCTGCCATATTTTTTAGCAGCTGATTATTTTAAATTGATTATGTTTCTGCTTGCAGAAACATAATCAATTTAATGTATCCACAAACTAACTTATCCTACATACTTGTGTTTTATTACTTTGTTTTTTTTTTCTATTGCAAAAATATATTTCTTGCTTAAATATACATCTATGTTGCATATATATATATATATATATATATATATATATATATATATATATATATATATATATATATACATATATACATACATATATACATACATATATACATACATATATATATATATATAGACATATATATATAATATACATATATATATATATACATAATCTATATTTAGCTTTATTTTTTTTATAGAACGGCCTCATGTCCGCGCTACCCTACCTATCAATGTTCCTGCTGAGTTTCCCATTTGGATTCTTCTCTAACTATGTGTTGAATAAGAAGTGGCTCAGCACTACCACTACCAGAAAAATATGCAATTCTATAGGTATGACAATTTTTTTTTATGCAACTTAGAACAGCAAACAAGTGGATAAGTAAAGATGGAGCAGGTCAGTTAGTCTATCGTGACAAATTCACCAAAGAATTAATCACGATGGTTCCAGGGGTAACCGCGAGGAGGTCGACCTGATAGGGTATATTGCTAGTAATAGGGTTGCTAATTCCCATGACTAATTATCCCTTTCCTCCCAAGAAGTATAATAATAGGCTTATTTACTTCTTCATCTCAAATGTTGTAAAGGAAAAAAGAATTGTTAATATTTTTTTTTATACAACTTAGAATGGCAAACAAGCTGACAGCCCACCTGATGGAAAGTGGTAACCGTCGCCTATAGACATGAGCAGTACCACGGATACAGTAGAGTATACTTTTTCGCCCCTGATACCTTCCATGCGTTGCGATTCCTGAGGACTCAGGTGTTATTCCTCTATACTCTGTAAATTTACATAAATTGAGAAAATATAAAGGAACCACTAATAACTATTTATCACGCAAAACTGTATGGAAAAGTTAACTTGTTTTTTTTTTCGATGCATTTCTATGGAGACACTCTATCTATATAATCTAAAGTTATATCATAATTAAGCACATAGGATACTTATTTTATATCACCGAGGTGGCAAATAAGCATACGTCCCATCTGATGGTAAGCGGTTACCGTAGCCTATGAACGCCTGCAATACCAGAGTTTTACTATATATGGTTTATTACACTCGCGTTGCCGACCCTGAAGAAACCTCTTTACCCCCCTTTTGAAGAACCCCATGCTGTAGTCTCATGGGGAAACCTCGGCAGGGAGCTTATTCCATAGCCTGAGTGTTCGTGAGAGAAAACATCTCTGAAACCGCGTTGTACGCGACCATTTAGGCTGTAGGGTATGAGGGTGAACTCCCTGTCGATGGCGAGCCGTACGATGACACGAGTATATACACGTGGGTGAAATCGCGGGATATAACTAGTTTTAAATAGATTCTGTGTATAGAATAGATCTTGTGTATGTTATCTTGTCTGTTTCACAGGTCTTTTCGGCCCTGCCTTGGCATTGATTGCTCTTTGTTATACGCCCGCCGACGTCACCATTACAGTCATTATGCTGACATTAGTGGTCGGTCTCAACGCTGGACATATTATGGGCTTTATGGTAAGCTCTTCCCTAATACTTGGAGTTACTTTAAATTGGCTTAAAAATACAATAATAATTTTATACGAGAACATCGCCATCATGTCAGCCGTCAACTGTTCGCTGCTGAACATAGGCCTTGCCTATAAGGAGGTTTTCCTAATAGTTGCCACGCTTGGCAGGCGGATTGGCAACCGCAGTTAGGCTTTGGTGATGTTTTAAGAGGGGCGCTGCAGTCTATCCCTCGACCATTAAGTTCTCTTACGACGGGTGGTCATTCTATACCGGGACTATACGGGTATATGAAAACATATTTCATGTATTTTCCAAATTTCATTCAAATTCATTTATCCTTTATAATAAATAGTAAAGACTAAAAGTTTTTTTAAAAATCGTTTCTAAAATTCCTTTGATATTTGGTCAGCTTGTTTGCCATTCTAAGTTGTATAAAAAAGAAAAGATTTTTTTTATAATCCTTAGAGTCGCAACCAGACTAACCTACCACCTGGTGAAAAGTGGTAACCATCGCCTTATAGACACGAACAGAGAATTATAGAGAACACAAAATGTACTGTGATGCCAATAGCAACCCTCATTGCCATTCCTTTTTTTAATGAATGATGAAATGGTAATACTGCCTGCACTATCGGTATATACTGGTGAGGCACTAATAAGGCATGATAGGTGAGGATGAAAGCAGGCCAATTAGTCCACAAGAATTAACCAAGACCGTTGCCAAGAGAAACCGCGTGGCGATCGACCGGATAGGATATACTGCAATGAAGCTGTTAGATCCCCATTACTAACAATCTCTTTCTCCACGGACTATGATGCTATGCTTTTGTAGTAATTCAATGTCATATCCAACTCTTCAAACCAATACACAGCTGGTTCACAGTAGAAATATGGGAGCGATAGAGGAACCAGTTTATCCAACTTTTCTAAAGATGTTCAGTTTTAAAGAAATCTTACTAATATTATAAATGTGAAAGAAAGTCTGATTATTTGGTATTTTGTTCTTTGCATTAATTATGAAATTAGATACATACTTCACTTGCTTCAAGGGTGTTCTTCTCCAGAAATCTATCCGATTCTAGAATAATACGAGTATACGACCCCAGCCTCTCGAGCTGCTGCAATGTCCCAGTCTTTTCCGCAACTACAGTATCCCCCCTTTCCTTTCCCACTAAGTCCCTTATTCCTCTCATTTACTAGTTTCCATTACGCATTTCCAACCTTCCCTTACTTTTTTCCTCAATCCTTTCCTCCAAACCGTAGGTGGCGGAAACCACCAACAAAGAAGGTTGACATCAGGCAGACAGCCAGTTGTAAAACTATAAGCCAAATCCTTTAGTATGAATAAAACCATATTACGTCGACCCCAAATAATAATTGGGATAAGAATAGAAACATGATGATTCATATTTCACTTAAATACGTTTAACATGTTATTACCTGTAGCCTTCTTTTATCGTGGTCATTAAAGATGTAGCCGTGGGTAAAAGAGTAATCCTTATTTCCCTCAATATTAACAGCTGGTGCACATCGACATGGCTCCCAACTTCGCCGGCACCATGATGGGCATCACTAATGGTACGGCGAATGTCATAGCCATCATTGCGCCTCTGGCAGCGGGAGTTATATTAAATGACGAAGTATGTAACAATCTAAGAATAGAAAAAGTTCGAGTAATCCCTTACTAATATTATAAATGTGTATTTCTTTGTTTGTTACCTCTTAGCTCTTTAATGTCTGAGCCAGTTACTATAAAATTTGATATAAATATGCTATACAAGTCGGAGAAGGATTTTGTCAACATTTTATCCGGAACAATGAATAGTTTCTGGTGACGCGGACGATGTCGATGGTAAAAGCTAGTAAAGATAGAAAGAAATATTTTTATTTAAGTTAACTTAGATTTAAACATTCTCGGACAGTAATTTTTCTTCATTACCGTTCTATCTGGTAACAAATAAATATAATATCTTATCATTATATCAGCCTTGAACTGTCCACTGTTGAACATAACCTTGGGATTTTGCCAATAGTTGCCACGTTTGGCAAGCGGATTGGCAACCGCAGTCAGTAATTTAGATGTTATAAGAGGGACGCTGCTGCCATTCTCTCGCCCTCCCTTAGTCGATTCTTACGACATCCACGGGAAAGAATGGGATGGCCTATTCTACCATATGTCTGGACCACACTGCAAAGTAATATAGGACAAAATAAAATAGGGGTAAAAATATTATGAAAGAAATTAATTTAGATATATATACTAACGATTAATTCCTGAATGTTTTCCAGACCGATCCGAAGGAATGGCACAAAATTTTCTATTTGGCGTCTATAATATATATCATTGCAAATATAATCTTTCTCATATTTGGTTCCGCTGAGCTACAAACGTGGAATGAACCGAACGAATCCGAGAATAAAAATACTACTGGTAAGTTCCTTTTCAAAATTGAACACTTAGTCGTATATTCATTTCTGCAGCTTCAATATATGAAAGTGTAGATTCATTTACACTAAATTAAATTGCTCGAACATTTTTATTTGTTGTTAGGTACTTCGCAATTTATTACATAATTGCAAATTGATTGAGCATTGGCCACGTAGATGGATCGGATTCAATTCCCCGCTTAGAATTTTTTCAATCACATTTTTTCAGGGAGTATGATTTTCTAACTTACAATAGCAAACAAGCTGACGGCCCACCTGATGGAAAGTGGTAACCGTCGCCTATAGATATGAGCAGATAGAGATATGACATAATGGAGTATTCTATGTCGCCCATGATCCCCCCTCCCCCTCCCCCCGCGTTGCCGATAGTATGATTTTCATTTTTGATGAAAATTCCATGATAAATTGTAACCGTCACCTATAAAAATAAAGAAAAAATAATTAAGAAATTTACATAATAGTTATTGCCTCAACTTGAAGTACTTTAGTCTTTAATTTTAATGCCCACAATAGAGACAATGTCTTGATCTGATGCTGTCTATACTAAATATGCTGCTGATAAATATGGTTATACCATTTTATAATTTTTACTTAATTAAGCTTCTTAATTTACAGATGAAGCACTAGAAAAAGTGGAGAAGGTGATATAAGAAGAAGTGTGGGTACATTTAATTTCAAATGAATATGGGATTTCTCGTGATGATACATTCATCTAACCCATCCTAACCCAATCATAATCATATACAAGGATCATTAAAAAGTGCAAAACTGAATAAGATTGATTTACCCAACGATAAGTAACTCGTAATACTGACAGCAATTAGGAAATTGACGGATGAAAATAATGATTTATTTATTTATTTATACTTTTGAACACATTAAAATATTTCTACAGGGCATACTTAATGCCTGATGGTATTCTTTCCTATTACGCTAAACAGAGAGAACCAAAAGCGGTGCACAGATTTAAACAAAATGTAAATTAAATAAATATTTTGTAAATATACAAATATATAGAATAACTTATACTTACAAAAAATGTACATACACAAATCACATACAATACATATATAAATAACCATACATAGTAGATATTAAATTAATAAAAATATAAATAATAACTAATTATATAATAGTTCAGATTGAGGCTTTTCATTGTAAATTAGTTGAAATATCTTTAAATTTTATTGATATTGGAGTCTGTTGGCACTTTATGACTTTTTTCATTCATTTTTATAAATGAAACATTTGTACTAAATCCTGTGGAAGCAGCACTAATATTTTCTTTTATAAAAATTAACACGAATATATTTCAAGTTTATAAAACGAGCTGCTGAACTGCTGAAATTACTTTTATTGTACTATAAAACTCATTTAGTTGCTTTCATGTCTTACGAAAGCTGAATTTCTCTCTCTCTTAAGTTTAGATTAATTATGAGGAGTATAATTCTAGTCTATGGTTCTTCATAGATAGAATATAATTTAACCTACTTCTAAATACGAGGAGGTACTAAATTCGACTGTGTTCGTTCCTCGTGTGTATGTTACACGATATCTAGTATAAATCTATTTTAAATAAGTTTTAACTTTAAGGTAGTTGTTGTAAATATATTATTATTATTATTTCGGATTATTATTTTTCCTTTATATCCTTTGGTGACCTTTTTTTATACAACTTAGAATGGCAAACAAGCTGTCGACCCACCTAACGGAAAGTGGTAACCGTCGCCTATAGACATGAGCAGACAGAGATATGATATAACGGAGTATACTGTTTCGCCAATGACACCCCCCACGTGTTGCCATTCCTGAGAACTCAGGTGTTATTCTTCTGTACCCTGTAAATTCACTGCCATATCCCACCCTTCAATCTGAAACACAGCCATGCAAACACAACTGCTTCACGGTAGAAACACGAATGGAACAGAGGTGCCCAAGCAAATGACTTTTGTACAAAGTCTCCCTCCGGTGATCTACGTAAAAATGGAAGAATCGAATAGAATTCCTCCTCTCTTGTCTAAATTCCATAACTGAGATAGGAGTTAATTGGTATTACAACCCCTGGTCATTCACTACCTCTTATTATAGGGGGGAAGGGATTATTAGTAATGAGGAGTTTAGTCCTCATTGCTATCAATATACCCCATCAGGTCGACCTCCACGCGGTTCCCCCTGGAAACTATCGTGACTAATTTATCGTTGAATTCTTCACGATGGGATAACTGGCCTGCCTTTTCATCCTCACCTATCATTGCTCACTGGTACCTCGCTAGTGTATACCGATAGCGCAGGCAGGGTAACCATGCCATTTTCACGCATAAAAATAAAATATATATATATTCTTTATTGCACTAAAACATACATTAACAACAATAAGTTAATAACAATGTTAGCAAAGGCGAACCTCTTATTATAACCAGGATTTTGTAAGACGTGGCTAGAGAAGCAAAGCATAATAACTATTAAATCATCAATAACTAATTAATTAACTTAACCTTTATGAAGGCAATTTTACTTTGGGTCACAGTAATTTTTAAATATATAAATAACTCAATCATAAAAATGATGAAAGTATCAATTTACGATCAAGTACAAATATAACTAAGAAATATTGTCATGCGAACCGACAGTCAGTAAACACATTTGAATATAAAGTTGTATCAAGGCAAAATACTTGAAATACATTCACTGTATGACCTTTGCGATACAAAATAACAATTAGATACGCATAAAAATTTGCACAGACAAAATTTCAAATTTCAATCTCTACGCGGTGACCATGAACTCAAACCAATTGCCTTGAAGTCAAATCGTCAAATCGGGACCCTCTATCATGAATGACAGTTTACACGTAAATTAAAAGGTACGAGAATTTCTCTTATTTGATGCAAATTTACGCGAGTATCTTATAAACACACATTTTTTTTTTATAACACTGAGGTGGCAAACAAGCATACGGCCCACCTGATGGTAAGCGGTTACCGTAGCCTATGAACGCCTGCAATACCAGAGGTATTACGCGCGCGTTGCCGACCCTAAACACATAAAAAGGTATCATTTACATTACAAAAATGTTTAAGGTAATTACAAATTTTTTGGAACAAATCTATTCTATTGTAGTGAGCTTAGACCATAATAATATAAAATAATGCAATAGTAATCTTACATGTAATCTTACATATTTATTGGCCAACATAATTAAATTGTGCCGTGTGTGCCCCGGCATAAAATAGGCCACCCCTTCTTTCCCGTGGGTGCCGTAAGAGGCCACTAAGGGTGGGCGAAGGATGGGCAGTAGCGTCCCTCTTAAAATATCTCTAAAGCCTAACTGCGGTTGCCAATCCGCCTACCAAGCGTGGCAACTACTGGAAAACCACCCCCTAAGGGAGGCTTATGTTCAGCAGTGGACAATTAAAGGCTGATATGGTGAAGCTGATGATAGTTTTTAGCTTTAATTTTACTTTCTTACTTTATTTCACTTGTCATGAGCAGGACACTGGAGGTAATGAAATTTACAAATTTACAGATTTAATTATTATTATTTAATTATTCAGGTAGTTGCTCCTCTCCATCCAAAGGTTGCCTGGAAGAGATCGCTCTTAGCGATAAGGTCGCCCATTGTTTTCTCATTGTGATTATTTCTTGTAATTGTTTATATTTATAACAAGTTTACTATTGTAATCTTTTGGGGGAAACAATAAAGAGTATCTATCTATCTAAGTAGATAATAATACTGACAACTGAGAAGCGCGCACGTTACCATGGTGACGAAAAATAACAGAAAAACTCATTTAAAAATACTCATCTACCCGCACATCGCTATTTATTTACCAGAAAACCAATTAAATAAATTGAGTATTAATCAAGATCCTCATTTAGGATCGATCAGTATGTAAATTTTTCAATTTAGAATTTATCAAAAAAAAATTTTAAACTCTTAGATTAGGTAGTTTCTTTAAAAATTTGACGGAGACGTAATTTGCACTAAATCAGAGAAATCCCCTAAACCGGTAGATATTACATTAAAATACGATTAAGTCGTTCCAACACTAGAAAGCAGTGTATTTGAAACTGCCACGAAAGACGATGTAACAAGTGAATAGCTACAGCCACTTGAAGCGCTGACACGTACGTCGCGGGACGGTTTTTCATGCATTATTATACCAATAACAACGTGGTAAAATGCAGCTGTCTTTTGTGCACTTTTTAAGCATTTTGGTGTCCTTTAAATACGGAGTAAGTTGCGTGTGTGGAAGTATTTTAAAACAAAATCTTATATTTTATATCAGAAATAATATATATATATATATATATATATATATATATATATATATATATATATATATATATCTGTCTTTATATTTATAATATTCTCTTGCTGGTTACTCTGTTTGAGTCATAGATTGCTCTTTGTTTTATCTAATTGTTCTATATAGTTATTGTGAACTGATTGTAATAAAGAAAACGCCGGTTCGTGTTAAAAAGTTATACTGACAGTTTATATAAAAAAATGAATAATTAAAAGAATACAATATTGGAAATACAAATTACAAAGGAGTTGGTAACAATAGTAATATTTCATGTACTTATTTATGTATGTATGTATTTATTGTATGTGTATATTTATTTATTTAGTATATTATATGTATGTTTATATTAGTCTATTTATATGTTTATATTATATGAATATATCAAGTATTGCTTTATTTTTCCTTTATTCAATAATGCACCGTCTACGTAATTCTCGGTTTGCCCAATGGATGACTGGTAGAGAACACCGTTCGGTGTTAAGTCCGCCAAATATACATAGAATTTTACTGTGCATTTAAAGTTAAAATAAATAAAAATAACTTATAACAAGACGTTGTATTTAGTATTTTTTTTTTTTTTACAAAATACTGACGGCCCACCTGATTGTGTTATAGACATATAATCATGGACATAACAGAGTATATCACAATTGCCAAGACTCAATTGTTATTCCTCTGTTATTAAATTGCCATATCCCACCCTTCAAAGAACACAGCCATGCAAACACAACTGCTTCACGGTTGAAGCACGAATAACAAGTCGTCGAATGTCTCGCCGTTTATATGTGCAATCACAATTGCAAAGTCTTATTTTTTTGCAGAGCATAATAACTGCTTGTTCTGTCCTCTAGCACTTAGTCACTTCTATTTCCACTGTTTTAACAGAATAGACTAGGACGTCGTTTGTTGTGGATTGATATTAAAACGGATATGATTTTGCGATAACATATCGCTTCCTTCACATTTAATAGATTATGTAATAATTCTAAGATAGTCAATATACGTGAGATTTTCGTACTTATATCATCACCACTGTGAAATGAATGCAAAAAACCCAAGTGGGCAATATGATTTATCGAAACCGTCACTTGTTGGGTTTTTTACATTTCCTTAGAGAATTTTTTTATTCGATTAAGATAATTTTATCTAAATCTTATTCAGAAATTGCAATACGTTTATTAGAATAAAAATATTTTATTGCCAAACAAAGTAATATTGTTTTCCAAAGAATCTTGGAAGGGGAATAAGACAATTCGCCTGATGGAAAGTGGTAACCATTGTCTATAGACATAAATAGCAGTATAGATGTCATGAGTTGCCATTTTTGACAACAAAAATTTTATGTCTCCGTACCTTATTTTCTTCGCTAAACCTGTATCTAAAATTATAATCTATATATTAATACGTGAAACAAAAACTTTGTACCCCTTTTTACGGAAATTGCGCTGTCGCAGGCATATGAAATTTGGCACACTTATAGTTCATATAGAGAAGGAGTGCAGAATGCTAATATATTTTTTTTAATTATGCTTCATTTGTATTTATGTTTTTTTTTATTATTTTTTTTTATTTTACCAGAGGGAGACTTTGTACAAAAGTCGATTGCTTGGGTACCTCTGTCCCATTCGTGTTTCAACCGTGAAGCAGTTGTGTTTGCATGGCTGTGTTTCGGTTTGAAGGGTGGGATATGGCATCAATTTACTGGGCACAGAGGAATAACACCTGAGTCCTCAGGAATGGCAACGCATGGGGGTATCATGGGCGAAACAGTATACACTGTAATGTCCATGGTACTGCTCATGTCTGTAGGCGACGGTTACCACTTTCCATCAGGTGGGCCATCAGCTTGTTTGCCATTCTAAGTTGTATAAAAAAAAATGCATAAAAAATACATTAAATCAATAAAAAAAACATTACAAACACTGCCATGTATTTGACACACACATACGCATATATACTCTTTTGTTTATTATTAAAGTCTATGTTGAAATTGAGAATAGATTAATATTGTTTGTATTTAATATTATTTGTCTATAGTCTTACCGAATGTCAAACGAAACTATAATAAATTCATTTATTACAATACATGTTATGGTCGAATTTCGATCACAGGGCGACCACTAGTATAATGTAAGATGTATCCTTGTAACAAATTATAGTATAATCGAAAACTAAAAATGTAGTTAGTGAAAATTAATTCAAGATTTTCAATTTTTTATTATCCAGCGATAAGCGACAGTGAACGCTCTATATAAGCAACTCATTTGAACCAATTTTAATAAAAACATTTCTTATTGGGAAAAGTTGCTTATAGGAAAAATATTTACCATCTGGAAAATATTTTTACTTATTTCTTTTACTAACTTAGCTGAGTAGAATAAATAAAATATAAAGAATCTTGCTTATAGAGAGGTTGCTTATATAGAGCGTTCACTGTATTCTCGAGATCATTTTACATAACATTCAGACTACCTGGATGTCAAATTTACAGAAGGATATGAAGGAACTCGGCTTAACCAACAGTGGCGCGTATCAGCGCAACAAATAGCACCATGTGAATACGAAAGCTAACCTCGCGTAACTGAAACAGGCCAGAGAAAAGAAAAAAAAACAGTTTGAAAAATCTCTTTCTTTTTTTCATGGAGAGTAATGATATTAGATCGTATCACTCGGTCGGATAAACCTCGCATGATGTTCAGGATTCCACTTTGGGGTCCTATTATCATTTACGAGCATGCGCCATAAACGCTTTATTTTGTTTCACTGTGATCTACTATTTATTTTATAGCAGGTAGTGAATTATATTAGTTACACGAGTCGCTGAACATGGACGTAAATAATTTTTAAATAATTTTAAAAGAGGTAAAAAGTATTTTATTCTGTGTATACGAAGCGATATTTTCTGAACCAATTTTAGACCTTCTCCATAAAAGAATAAATAATAATACTCCCACAAAGGGAGTTTTATCTGTAGTTGCCACGGTTGGCAGGCGGATTGGCAACCGCATTGTATATATGTGTATATATACATATGTACAAAGAAATCAGCATGATCTCAAAAAAGAAGCTATGACATCTATTTGGTTAGAATTATTTTGTTTAATTCCACTACCATTAGTATGTGTGCGATTGCCAACACTCAAAGACTGACCGCCACTATTACTACCAGAAGTTCCACAACTATATCATCGATATTAGCCATCAATTGTCGACTACTTTAAACGAGGAATCTTCGTGGATATTATTAAATTGCTCAAAGCTAAGTGTTAACAGCAAATTTGGACACCGAAAGTACTAACGAAGTACTATGTCGAGCTACTTTTGATAGTAATAGTGGCAGTCAGTCTTAGAGTGTTCGCAGCCACATACTAACGGTAGCGGAATTAAACAAAATAATTCTATTTAAATGACCAGCGATATGAACTTCGACAAGATAACACCTAGTTCAATAAAACATTTACTTTATCAGTAGCACGTTGAGACTCAGACGTAACGTCCGTATTATTCTGTTTATATTTTAATTTTCATTATCAAAATATTTATATTGTTTAAAGTGTTTTTATAAAGTGAACATAATGATTGGAATTGAGGAACAGTTCGTGGATATCCAAAAACCAAGTGAGTTTATCAATACAAAATGAGATTCTAAATTTATATTTTATTTTTTATCAAAATATTTATATTCTTTTTATTGAACATAATGATTGGAATTGAGGAACAGTTCGTGGATATCCAAAAAGAATGTAGGGTATGTTTATCATACAAAATGAGTTCTAAAATTAAATTATATTTTTGACACAAAAGATACTGTGTTTTTTTATTGTTAGCGTTTACGATGTCAATCTTTAAGAAGTTTGACGTAAGTGTTGTACTAATATTTAAGATTCAAATTGGCATAGACTACTTTATATTCTATTTATGTGAACAAAGTCGCAAGCATAGTTAGTAGTATGTTAGTAGTATCTTTGCTAATATTTTAAATATGGAAGTGTGTTTGTTGGGTATCTTAATGGTTCAACCAATCGTCGTGAAAACATGACGTATATGCTAAGATATACATATAATTTTTAAATGGAACGATAATCCCGCCTACCCTATTAGTAAGAAAGAAGAAATTGTTTGTAATATAATATGACTAGGACCTTATTGCTAGCAATACATCCCATCAAGTCAACCTCTATACACTTTCCCTTGGAAACTATCATCGTTCATTATTGTTGAATTCATTACGACCTTTCTCACTAATTATTCTTCACTGATACTCCGCTAGCATTACATTATTATCGTGCACTAATAATGCAGGTGAGATTACCATTCAATTATCATCCATTAACATCATACTCTGTTGATTTACATTGGCGGTGCAGCAGTGAAAGGGACGAATTCACTAAGAAACAACCACGATGGTTTCCAGTGAGGACCATACGGAAGTCTACCTGATATAGTATATTGGTAGCCATTGAACTATTACAGTTCGTCGCCGTGTGGTCCTGACATAGAATTGGGCACATCTCACTTTCCACCCTTTCCTTTCTCGTAAGAGGCGACCAAAGAAACTTAATGATCGAGGGATGGGCAGCAGCGCTCTTGAAACATCATCAAAACTAACAGTGGTTGCTAACGCGACTGCCAAGCATGGCAACTACTAGCAACTATAATACTACTATATGTTTTGTTATATAAATATATATAAACAGATTTTAAACCCGATCAATAAACACAACTCGTTCTCGCGATCTCATGCCGGTAATACTGGTTAAAATATTAAATTCAATTATTTTTATATCAATTTTCATTTATCAAGCACTCTCGTCGTATTAATATTATTAATTAAGCTGCTAATCTCGCAAATTGGGCGACTTTAATGCCAGCTTGAAGAATTATTTATGTAAAGTAACTCAATTATTTGAATGAAAATGTTACTTACGTTATTTGTTGCATTCTGAGAATTCGACTACCCCGTCTTTCGGCTTTAATAAATATTATTTATTTATAGAAATTTGTAATCTTTACTCGCAATGTTGTCTGTGTGATTATGATAAAAGTTGCCAATGTCCTTTTACATTCTAAATATAAAGTTTACATCAAATTTTACAGAAATAGACGCGCTACTTTGAAGTCTTTAGCACTGATTAGTTGGTTTTATTTTGTTTAATTCCGCTACCATTAGTATGCGTGCGACTGCGAACACTCGAAGATTGGCTACAATTACTATTAGTAGAAGCTCTATATCCTTTCCTTTTAGACATTAATCTCTGAGCGTTATTTAATCTACACACATGTTGTAATATGAGTTTCGCCTCTAAACGAGGCATCTTTAAGCTATTACTGCTTTGAACAAACTACACCAAAATTGCGCGGAGCAGAATTAGAGTACAGTATAATAATGCATACCGCATTTTGACGAGGCTTCCGAAATATTGTAGTGTATCGAGTATGTTCGCGGAGTCCAGGGTGAATGATTACTTCGCTGTAATAAGATATTGTATAACAAATTTCTGGGCTCACATTTAAATTTCGAAGAATGAGATCTTGAGCACACTGTCCCAGTGTCTGAACAGTCCCATTCAAAAGTACTGATAGTACACCGAGACAAAAACGTTAGTGTTCTTTTGTTTTTGTCTAATAACAGTGTTTTGTTATATTATTTTATTTAATTTTACTTTATATACATTTTATACGTATGTTTTAATTTTTTATCGTTTAATTTTTATATTTTGTAAGTTATACTAGTATGCCTTAGACGTAAGCATAAATATCCCTGTAATAAAAATATTGTTATTATTATTAATCGATCGCTACTCGGAGTCTAGTGTTAATGGTTTAGCGCTCAGATTGCCACTACTGTGACTAAAATGCAAGGTCATTGAACTTCCACTATTAATAATAGTAGTCAATCGTCAAGAGTTGACAGTCGCACACATACTAACGGTAGCGGAATTAAACAAAATAATACTAATGGATGGTCCATTACGTGACAATTAGTCGAACCGTTAAAACATTGTAAGCTTACATTTACATTTACAATATTAGTAAGGACTTACTGTTTACCGTTGTCTTACTTACATGCATCTATTATGTTGCCTTTCTATGGAATTAGTTGAGAGAATAAATACCTACACAGTAGGTAGGCAGCATCAATTTGCAATTAAATATTCAATGCAATAAACAATTAGCTTCTGACTATCCCATTAAGAATTATAATCGTAAACATATTTATTTATGCAACTTCTGTCCTGACAAGATTTCTAAGATACCCGTATGGAGAATGGAAGAGGGGAAGGGATTGTTAGAAATGCAGACCCATTGCCAGCATATTAATAATACATATAAAACCCTGAATGCGTTACACAAAATGTATAATGTTATCTAAACTTACCACATTCATCGATTTCATTTCTCCACGTGGTTCCCCCTGGAAACCATCATGCTGAATTCCAGGTGTATTTATCACGATGGGCGAACTGACCTGCTTTTTCATTATCCACCTATCATTCCTCACTGGTGCCCCGACAACATATACCGTTATCACAGGCGAGGTTACCACTCCATTATCATCCATTAAAAGAATATGGTGAATGGGGGGTGGGGGTGGGGGGGGGGTTGTTAGTAATGGGTTCCATTTGTATTGCCATTGCATTGCTTCGCGAGATCAAATTTTCAACTTTCCCTCTACAATAAGCTCCCTTAGCCACCTCTTAAGACACCCATGGGAAAAGAAGGGGTGGCCTATTCTATGTTGGGACACGCACGATGATGTATGTTCCATGGTACAATTTTTTTTTTTACAACTTATAGTGACAAACAAGCTGACGATTCACCTGATGGAAAGTGGTAACCATCGCCTATAGACATGAGCAGTACCATGGACATGACAGAGTATACTGTTTCGCCCATATTACCACCCATGCGTTGCCATTCCTGAGGACTCAGGTGTTATTCCTCTGTACCCAGTAAATTCACGCCATATTCCACCCTTCAAACCGAACCACAGCCATGCAAACACAACTGCTTCACGGTTGAAACACGAATGGAACAGAGGTACCCAAGCAATCGACTTTTGTACAAAGTTTTATTTTAAAACGGTCTCAATTATACTGTAAATTAACTTCTCTGTTTACTCTAATTGCCAGAGAGTGTCTGTAGGTGCTCGTATTATGCACATTGTGTGTTCCTTGTGTATGCAAGAGTTAATTAAACGTAAACTCAATTCAAACAATGTCATTTCAGAATCATTATTCGGTGCTCGGCACGTTCAAGTGTTGATGCTATTTCTGGCGATGATGATAGCTTACGGAATGAGAGTTAATATGACCAGCGCCGTCATCGCTATGACAAATACGACCAATGATAATGTAAGGTATATTCCTTAATTAGATTTTTTTTTATTCATTCATAGGACAACAAACAGTATTTTTTTTAAACAACTTAGAATGGTAAACAAGCTGAGGGCCTACCTGATAAAAAGTGGTAAGCGTCGCCTATAGACATGAGCAGTACTATGGACATAACAGAGTATACTGTTTCGCCCATGATACACCCCATATTTTGCCATTCCTGAGGACTCGGGTGTTATTCCTCTGTACAGTGTAAATTTACGCATAAGAATCTGTACAAATGTAGATAGTTCCATCCCAATCATCTGGATGAGTGGCGGTCCTCCACCGTGCGTTTCAAGGCACTTTCTTCCACGCACAACCACACTTTGGAATCAACTTCCAGCAGCAGTATTTCCGAACTGATACGACATCATAGTCTTCAAGAAAAGATAAGAGCATATTCCTTTTTAAAAGGCCCGCAGTACACCTGCAATGCCTCTGGTGTTGCGGGTGATCATGGGCGGCGGTAGTCGCTTACCATCAGGTGAACCACTTGCTCGTTTGCTTCCTGCATTATAAAAGAATCCTTTTACAAGAACATTTCAATAAACAATTATGTACCTTTCCTATTGATTATCCTTCCGTATTGTTAATACAGGTGTTGACACTGATGAACGTCCTTTGTAGTGTACCAACTTTGTTGTCGAAGTTAACATTTTTCATTTTCATTCATTTTCAATACATAGACAATACCTACATTAATACATGGACGTATTGATACAAATACCATGTTTTTTTATGCAACTTAAAATGGTAAACAAGCTAACGACCCACCTGATGAAAAGTGGTAACCGTCGCCTATAGACATGAGCAGTACCATAGACATAACAGAATATACTGTTTCGCCCATGATACCCCCCATGAGTTGCCATTCCTGAGGACTCAGTTGTTATACCTCTGTACCCTGTAAAATCACTGTCATATCCCACCTTTCAAATCGAAACACAGCCATACAAACACAATTGCTTCACGGTAGAATCACGAACGGGACTGAGGTGCCCAAGCAAACAACTTTTGTACAAAGCCTCCCTCTGGTCTTTAGATATGTTTTAAGAGGGACGCTGCTGCCCATTCTTCGCCCTCCCTTAGTCGACTCTTATGACAATCACGGGATAGAAAAGGGGAGCCTATTTTGTACCAGAACCACATGGCCAAGATGATACATTTAGCCCATGTTGAGATGGTTGGATCGAAAAATAGGCATCAACTTTTAATATATCTTATATTTTATTTAAATACGAGTACATATTTTAGCCGTATAATGCAAGTGACAGACGAAATCAGAGAGCGAAATACAATATGGCGTGCGCTGAGTTATTCTTAAAGCGATAACAGATGGCGCTACGTGTCCCTTTTACATAAATATGACTATTAAATTTAACCTAATTACAACAGTCCATAATAAAAATTGTAATTAAACGATGTCGGTATTTAAATGAAATTTAAGAAACATTGATATGATGAGACTAATAGAAGCCAAAACAATAGTTTTTAGATAATTATTCTGTTTGTTTGTCTGTGACAATACAACAATTACCACACCTAAGTAAATAAATGCTGTTTTCACAGCTGTATTCTTGAAGGTTTACCTTAAAATCTAATGTATGTTTTATCTAGAAGTGGTATTATTTAATTGATTTTCCTACTTCCAAAATCCATACGAGCTATGTCGCGAGTAAAAGCTAGTTAAGCATATAAGTCCTATATACTCCATGGCAATAATATAAAATCAATATGACCGCTATGTACTTGCAAAATATTTGAAGTGTTGTAAGTCACTTCCACTTGTCTCTGAAATTCTACCAAATTTTTCTCAATTAGATAAGATTAGAAAAAACATTTTGAACGAATGACTCATCTTTGTTGTTATGCATGTAGATTTAAATTTAATTTTTCGTGCAAATACGATAAACTACTTCACGTTATATCTTATATTGTTTATTTCTATTACATTTTACTAATAGAACAAACATTTTCAGATACAAAATCATCTCAAAGTATCTCAAAATGTTTATTCTATTATCATTATTATTATTTATACATTACATTTACGAGTACAATATTATTTTAAAGACATTTAAATACCTAATAATAAAACTTTATTATAAATACATTCAGTGTTTGTTAATCTACATAAATATTGTATGTATCAACATCAGCGGCTCCCTGATACATATTGCTAAGCATATTGAATAAATAAATTAAAAAAATTGGACATATGTGGGTCAGGATGGGTCACATATCGCCTCGTACTGGCCGCAGCTCGCATAGCCTGTAAATGGCGGAGATAGTGGTGACCAGAGACAATGGTGTTGCTGGAGATGAGTGGCTGTTACCTGTTTCTTGTATAGTTATCGTTGACTATGAAGGATTCTCTATGGTTCATGAAGCAATAGAAATTAATCCTCACACTAATAGACAGAGAAAGGGTGGACTTTATCACAGTCATGGAAAACGTGTCCCCAAAGATGCTGGAGATCGCTACATGAATTATTGAAAGAAGATACAGTGAGGTTTGCGTATCAGACTGTGTTGAACAACTCAGAAGAGAGCGGCAGCAGAGAAGAGAGTCTTTCACAGTCACGGAGATGAGTAGCTGTATTTATCATCTCCGATAACATCATTGTCTTCAATCATCACTATCTCCGCCTCCACCGCAGCTCGCACTGATGTCATTACGGGCTATGCTACCCACAGTGCGAGGCGAGGCGTTGTGACGCAAAGCGCCAAACACCCCCTGAAGATGGCTTCCGGACGAAGTCGAAACAATTGTCGGGAACGATAAAAACACAATAAGTTCATCAATTTTTTTTTATACAACTTATAATGGCAAACAAGCTGACGGCCTACCTTATGGAAAGTGGTAACCGTTGCCTATAGACATGAGAAGTACCATGGATATAACAGAGTATACTGTTTCGCCCATGACACCCCCCATGCGTTGCCACTTCTGAGGACTTAGGTGTTATTCCTCTGTACCCAGTAAATTCACGCCATATCCCACCCTTCAAATCGAAACACAGCCATGCAAACACAACTGCTTTATGGTTGAAACACGAATGGGACAGAGGTAGCCAAGCGAACGACTTTTGTACAAAGTCTCCCTCTGGTATTTCCCGTTATATAATGAAAAAAGAACGTAAGTTTTTAAAATACTGATTACACTTTTTTATTTGATAGTCTTTCGACTGGGACATCAAGATTCAGGATATGGTCGTCGTATCATTCTTCTGGGGCTACGGGTTCTTGCAAATACCAGGCGGTGAAATAGCTGGCAGATTTGGCGGGAAAGTGGTCATCGTTCTGTGTATTGCAATCAACTCGTTTATTACCCTGTTACTACCGACAAGCGCATACTATGTAAGTGATACAATGAATTAAATAAACAAAAGGAATCAATTTTACTATTATATACAAAGTTATTAACGACTTTCAGGAAATCCAAAAGCTTTGTTTAAATAAAAAAATATATGCGCGTGACACTCTTAGCAAGTGCGTGTTACTAACCCTGAAAAAAAAATTACATGCGTTCTTTTTTTAAATTTCAATGCTTCTTTATTATAATTTGAAATGGTAAATATGTTGACGGTCCATCTATATAAATAGACATAAATTGGACTGTGGATATCACAGAATACACTACAGTTCACCAAAATACTCTTTACGCATATATTTTTAAAGACTAAGATCTTGTGCTTCTGTACACTTTAATTTTACTGCTATATCCCTTCAAATGACAACTCAATATGGAATCAAGCTACTTGACGTTGCAAATAGTTCAGATGAAAGTATGCTCTTTTCAACTGACGTCGAAAAGAAGGAGGTTATTCAATTCGGTTATTTTTTTTTTATGTTTGTTACCTCATAACTCCATCAGTTATTAACTGATCTGGAAAATTTATTGGTCTCGCAGAAATTTAATCAAAATCTGTAGTACTTTAATTTTCAATCAAAACAACTAGGTAGTTTTGCCATAATTGGACTCCGTTTTTTATAGAATGCAATCTTAAATTAAACATTGAAAAATTTAAGGCACAAACTGATAAAATAAAATTATTTTGCATCTGAAATATGTTAATTTATATATTTAAGGACAACCAACAAAGCATACATTTATATCTACTTAAAATACATGATAATATGGTTACATTATAAAATGCTGCCTCAATTAAACGTCGCCACGACACGCGTATTCACATTCTATATAACTATTAGGATGAAAAATGATAAAAACTACAATACTAGTTATACAATAAATAGTTAAACTACAGTAATACTTTGGATTTGAAAGATTTGTACACTTATAATGTATACATATGTGCAATGATACATGCCATGCTGTTATTAAGCTGAATACATTTAACTAAAGAATCTATACAAAGTGGATTTGAATTTGTATAAGGTCGTGTTAATGTTAACATTACAGTTTTCTAATATTAACAATTTATTTTCGACAAAACAGATTACGGCTCAAAAGTGACAGTTAACCCACTCTCTTTGTTATTCTAATGGAGGTAATGTAATGATAAAATTGCTCAATTTCAGGGTGATTGGAAGGCACTTCGCGCTTGTCGCATACTTCTCGGACTCTTTCAAGGATTTCTCTATCCATCAGTGCACAATCTTATCAGTAAGTGGGTGCCTTTAGAAGAGAGGAATCGCCTCGGGACCATAATATATTCAGGTTTGTTTATTTGTTTACCATAGTAACCCATAATGAACCACTACTAGGAGCTAGTATCACGTTATGAGACATTAAACAGCTAACATCCTTTTGATATTATAAATGCGAAAGTTTGTAACGATTGATGGAGAAACTGATGAATGGAAGAATTTAAATGAAATTTGGTATACAGGTAGATTATATCCTAACTTAGCATATAGGATATTTCATATACTGATTTACATAGACGAACCTACGAACAGCGCCGGCCTTACCCATTTCGAGGCTTCGGGCGGTAGGTCTTTGCGAGGCCCTTTGTCCTTTGTGAAAAGTATGTGATGCGAAACTAGGTCTGGTTGTTTGATTTAGTTATTTATCATATATATATATATATATATATATATATATATATATATATATATATTTATTTATATTAAATTAATGGAAATTTTCAGCTGATTCAAGAAAACTATGTATAAAAAAAATCAATTAAAAAAAAAATGTAAAATAACATTTTTTTTTTTAAATTGATTTTTTTTATTTGTATATTTTAGTGTTGGTAATTTTGTTCATTCGCGATTAAAATGCCTAAATCGGGAAGTTTTTGCAACTTGCCACTAGACAAAATGCCACTCACTGGTTGTTTAAAATTTGCTTGGGTTGTTATGTGATGCACCTGCAAGAGCGAGGCCCCGGGCGATTACATATCATACGATACACAGGTCGCACTACAATCATTATATTCGATATATTTTATTTCTGCAGGAGCTCATTTGGGCGCGGCAATGCAATTTATGGCGTCTAACGCCATAGCAGATTATTGGGGATGGCCAGCTATATTTTATATAAACGGCGGATTGGGCGCGCTCTGGACTGCTATCTATTTATACGTGGGCTCATCTTCACCGAGAGTATCCAAACGTGTGAGTGAAGAGGAAAAATTGTATATACAAACCTCTTTAGGACATGTTGGCGAAGAAAAGGTACAAAGTTATGCTCATATTAAAAAAAAAAAACACTAGAATTCTTTCACAAAATGTTATACTAAATAAATGATCGGTTTCGATATTCTAGGCATTTTCAAATGTTTATACACTCGTAATAATAATAACAATCTTTATTTGCTTAAACACAGTAAAGTCGAAGATGTTACATTAGTCGGGGAACATTCGTGCTTAGCTAATGTTATAGCATGCAAAATTCATTTAACATTAACAATTAACATTTTGTTTTTTTTTTTTTTTATTAAAGAAGTCTTTTGCATCGTAAAAACTATTTACATTCAGCCAAGTATACATTCTCTTTTTAAATAAATTCACAATATTCAATAATAACATCAAGCTTTGTTATGTTAATTTATTATTATTATAGAAAAGGTCAAGAGTAAATCTCTTGTAAAAAGGGAATAAGAAGGAGAGGAGGTAATCTCTCTTTTTACAAAATCTCATAATGAGAGAAGTGGATTGATTATCACTTGTTTCATCATTCTCATATAAGCCGTTAACTGTCCACCGCTGAACAAAGGCCTCCCCCATAGATGATTGCCACAAGGAACAGTCTCGAACCACCTACATGCACTGACACTCTACAATACCTTATTTGTGGTCGTCGCTCCATCTAGTAAGGAGTCGTCCTACACTGTGTTTGCCCGTGAAAGATCGCCACTGAAGAACCTTGGTTCCCTATCGGTTATTTATTTATACATACAAATACAAATGTCTTTATTGTGGATCATAGGTCAAATTAAGGTATTACATGAGTTAAATAGTATCTCCATGTCTTGCTATATAAGCGTACAATATATGGAACAATTATAAATAAAGTACATGCGTTATTTAACAGTATATAAAACATAACATTTAAAATTATATAGTGAAGCAAAATATATTTATATGAGACATTATTTTTTACTAATGACGACTATTTATCTTTATCGTTGATATATTCGTTTAAGCTATAATAACATTTATTTATTAACACATCATGAAGGTTCTTTTTAAAAACACTTGCCTCAGTTAAATCTCGTATACGTTTTGGTAATTTATTATAAATTATTACAGCTTTACAAAATATACTGTCTTTCATCAGTTTTGTTTTAGATGGTGCTACACATAATTGTCGAGCTCTTCTGCGAAATTTAAATTTATCAATATTTGTTTTTACAAAATCGTCATAGTCGTAGAATACTGACGGATCTATATATGTAATATTTGTCAGATCCGTCAGTATTCTACGACTATGACGAAATTAGCACACTCATAAATATACAAACAAGGCACTGTTAATAATTTTAATTGTTTAAAATGTGGGATGCATTAATACTTATTTGTTTGTAGAAACTGAGGACACCAGTAAAAGCTACATTCATATCACTACCATTTAACGCGTTGATAATTGCGCACAGTGGCTACGAATGGGGCTTTTGGATTCTGACGACTTTAATACCAAATTTTATGAGCCACATGCTCGGAGTCGATATTACTGCGGTAAGTTTCATTAGTTAGTTCCAATAGAACATAATTAAAATGTCAACAAATGGAATAAACATAAAATTCCCGTTATATGTATATGTAAAAATTGGATATCAATATCTCGTACTTTAGTATTTAATTTCACTTGTAACAAATTAATAGTTTTTTTTTTTTTATATATACAACTTAGAATGGCAAACAAGCTGACGGCCCACCTGATCGAAAGTGGTAACCGTCGCCTATAGACATGAGTTGTACCATGGACATAACAGAGTATACTGTTTCGCCCATGATACCCCCCATGCGTTGCCATTCCTAAGGACTCAGGTGTTATTCCTCTGTAACCAGTAAATTCACGCCATATCCCACCCTTCAAACCGAAACACAGCCATGCAAACAACTGCTTCACGGTTGAAACACGAAAGGGACAGAGGTACCCAAGCAATCGACTTTTGTACAAAGTCTCCCTCTGGTAGTTCTGTGATTGTGATACGTTTCAATGCTTGTTCAAAAGTATCACTACTCTATGTACTATATATATTTTATAATAATAGGAATTTTATGAACTTAGTACGTTTGTCATTGTTACGACTTCATACAGAAGTTTTCTATAGGATGAGTAAGTTGCTTACATTGCAGCGTCTCGCCTTGCACTCCGGACCGCAGCTCGCAGAGCTTGAAGACATCGGCGCGGGCAGGGGTGGGGGGCGAAGACGTGTAGGGGTGGTAGTAGCAACGGATGGTGTTGCCGGAGATGAGGGATTGTGTCTAGTGTCATTGTAGTTGACTGTGAAGGACTCATGTCTTCGTTGCTATTGTCTTCTGAGACAATTGTCGGAAATGAGAGATGTATTAGCTTTATTTGAAAAATTTGAAACCAATTTGGAAAATCCATTTATTTTTATTGAAATGATATATTTTCCGTTGCAATATATAGAAATTTCATCAAAGTCGATTATGCTGTTTAGTTTTTAAGCCAAAACTTTTGGCTTTGCAACGCTAGAAGTCGGTATTTTGATTGAAATAAAATCTTAAATTATATTTTATGTTTTTAAACTGAGACTTGAGATGTATATGCAGTATTTATATATTTTTATGTATTTGTGTAGGTTTTTATATGCATGTATGTATGTCATATATGAGTATATGTATATGTATATATATATATATATATATATATATATATATATAATAGTATATAATGAGTAGGGATATATATTTACATTATTACATGTATCACATCTCCATATTCAGAAATAATAGAATTTCATCGTGCCTCCGATCAAACTGTTTACTATTACTCCTATCCATCCACAGGTTGCCTGGAAGAGATCGCTTTTAGCGATAAGATCGCCCATTGTTTTCTCATTGTGATTATTTCTTGTAATTGTTTGTATCTATAATAAGTTTACTATTGTAATCTTTTGTAGGAAACAATAAAGAGTATCTGTCTATCTATACTTACTATATAATATCTCCGAAAAATGTGTAACTAATGTATTTTTACATAATTCTATATTATTAGTACCTCGCCAACGCCTGGTTCCAGCCTATAACAAGTTTTGCATATTTATGAAGCTTTATACACTCTCATACATAACGATGGAGTAGCTGTCTCCCTAAGCGTGACAAACATTATAAGATAATGTTCTATGTAGGAAATTATATAGTATTATTATATATACTATTTCTTATATGTTATACTTAGTAGGTACAAATTGATGCAACGACTTCGTCTTTTAAAACAAATATTTTTAAGTTTTACTACCATTGAACTTCTAGCATGTAGTTAACCAAAAAAACTTGCTAAATGGCTTCTCTAAAATAAAGTCTTATACATAGAAAGGATTATTTGAGATTAGTATGAGTATTTTAATCGAATGGACTTTCTCATTTTTGAAGTCCCTTACCAGAGGGAGACTTTGTACAAAAGTCGATTGCTTGGGTACCTCTATCCCATTCGTGTTTCAACCGTGAAGCAGTTGTGTTTGCATGGCTGTGTTTCGGTTTGAAGGGTGGGATATGGCGTGAATTTACTGGGTACAGAGGAATAACACCTGAGTCCTCAGGAATGGCTACGCATGAGGGGTACCATGAGCGAAACAGTATACTCTGTTATGTCCATGGTACTGCTCATGTCTGTAGGCGACGGTTACCACTTTCCATCAGGTGGGCCGTCAGCTTGCTTGCCATTCTAAGTTAAATAAAAAAAAAGCTAATTTTTTTTTTCAGAATGGCTTAATGGCAGCGTTGCCATATCTGTCTCTGTATATCATGAGCTTCCCATTTGGTTTTCTAACAGATTATTTAGTAAATAAGAAGTTGCTTAGCATCACTGCAGCACGGAAACTGTCTTGCTCTATAGGTGAGTAAATCTCTCTTCGCCTGTCACCTGATTCCTTAATCCTGATACTGATTGAACAAGAAAACTCCTATTACACTCATCCCTCCAGACTTTTTTTTTGTATTTTAAATTGATTGTCTATTAAAATGAAAACGTTTAAAATTAATCAGTGTTAACAATTGCTTTTCAAGTTGAGTCAACTCATCAGGTAGCTTTTACGAGTATTAAGAGGCATTTGTACTTTTTTTTGTATAATAGCGCGACTTTTACCAGATGGAGACTTTGTACAAAACTCGTTTGCTTGAGTATCTCTATCCCATTCGTGTTTTAACTGTAAAGCAGTTGTGTTTGCATGACTGTGTTTCGGTTTGAAGGGTGGGATATGGCGTGAAGTTACAGGGTACAGAGAAACAACAACTGAGTCTTCAGGAATAGCAACGTATGGGGAATATCATGGGTGAAACAGTATACTCTATTATGTCCATGGTACTGCTCATGTCTATAGGCGACGGTTACCACTTTCCATCAGGTGGGCCGTCAGCTTGTTTGCCATTCTAAGTTGTATAAAAAAAAAAGCAATAAAATGAACAAATAAAAGAAAGACCCTGACAAATTTGATCACTGCTGAAGCATCAATGTCAAAAAAATAAATAAATTTTAATATCATTTCAGGTTTCTATGGTCCGGCTATAGGATTTATAGTACTGGCATATGCCCCAGCCGATGTTAAAATAGTGTTATTGATACTTGCTATCACAGCAGGCCTCAGTGCCGGCCACTACACTGGATTTTTGGTAGGCATTTTTTTTTATAAAACTTGGATTAGGAAACAATGTGGTAGCCTATAACACTAAAAGTGGTAACTGTCGCCTGCAAATGCGGACAGCACAAATATAGTATACACTCAGATGAGAAATAAATAAAATATAACAATGTATGCAAGGAGCTTGATATTTTCCAACAATCCTTGCAATGTTACGTTAAGGCTGCCAATTTGTTACTTTAAATTTATAGCCGTCATTCTTTTAATGTATATAATATCGAATGTTATGCAGAGCAGTTATTGGAGTGCAAATTTAATGCCGTTTTATGTATTATTTATTTTATTAATGTATTAATTTGTAATCTGTTGCCTTGCTATAAATAAATAAGACATTAAAGATTAATCCATATGCCTCTGGGTACAGAAGTCAGAGAAAAACCAAGAATTTCCCAAATCGGCATCATCACCATCACCATATCAGCTTTTAACTGTCCACTGTTGGGGGGAAAGGGATTGTTAGCAATGGAGTTTGATAGCCCCATTGCTAGCAATATGCCCTATTCGGTCGACTTTCACGCGGTTCCCCTTGGAAACAATTCTTGTTGAATTCGTCACGATGGGCTAACTGACCTGCTCCATCCTCACCTATCATCCTTCACTGGTGCCTCGCCGGTGTATACCGATAGCGCAAGTGGGGTTACCATTCCATTATCACCCATTAAAAAAAAATGTCCACCGCTGAACATAAGCCTCTCCCTTGGGGGTTTTACCAGTAGTTGTCACGCTTGGCAAGCGGATTGGCAACCGCAGTTAGGCTTTGGAGAAATTTTAAGGGGGACGCTGATGCCAATTCCTTGATTATATGTATTGATGATAGTACAAGCGTAGGTAAACATACAGGGACAGTCATATTTCTTGCAAATTCTTTTCGGCAGATAATAATATTTCAATCTCATTAATAGAAACATAAAAAAGGAAAAAGTAAAAGTGCCTGGAAACAAGTCTATCATAATATGTATATATGTATATACCGATATATAAAATATTCCGTTATTTTCAATACTATATATAATATATATTATATATATATATATATATATATATATATATATATATATATATATATATCTTTTATTTAAGTTTCAGCAGTTGTATTTAAACCAACTTCTTACAACATTTATTTTACGAGTATCAGAATAAAGTCGGAAAGTTCGCACTTTTTTCTCGACGCCTTCGGCGCTGGAAGCGACTCGCATTTTTTATGCAAAGCTTATAAAACCATCAGGAAGTCGTGTCCACCTTGCTCCCTGTATCCCAACGGTCCCATAAATAAAACCGCTCCACATAATATTCTTATATGTAAAAAAAAAAACTTCGTAGTTTTGTTGCCATCCAATAGTTTTAGAAACAGATATTCGAATTGTGAGAAGTGTATGTACAGTAACTTTAACATGCGTTAACGTCCCATTGATGGACGTGAGTCTCTGCTATAAAATCTGGGCATATGGTTCAATATTGAATGAATGAAGTACCATACTTTTAATTCTGCCGAGATTTTCTCTGGAGACTACAGTATGAGGTTCTTCAAAAAGGGTGTGTTAAGGTTTCTTCAGGGTCGGCCATATGCACGTGATATCTCTAATATTACAGGCGTTAATATTATGCGTAGGCTACAATGACTGTTTAACATTAGGCAGACTAGTTTGCCACCTTCGTGGTAAAAAAAAAATTGGCAGAAGTTTATTAAACTGGACAAGTGTTTAAAACTCTTTAATTCCACTACCATTAGTATGCGTGCGATAGCCTACATTTGAGGATTGACTACTGCTTGTAGATGCTTTACCACCTTTCCTACTAGTCGTCAATCTCTTACCGTTATTCAATCTACGCACTTATGTTGTTCTCATTAAATAAAATTATTCAAATAAATTAACCACAAGTGAGTTTCAGTAATAGAGTCTAGGACCCCATTTCCAGTAACGTATCAGGTAGACCTCCAAGGAATCTACCTTGGAAACTATCACGGTTGATTCCCCTTGTACTCGTAACGATAGGCTAACTGACCTAATTTCGTCCTCATAGGAGGGAGGGGTATTACTATTAACTGGGTTTAACAGCCCCATTGATAGCAATATACCCTATCAAGTATATTTCTAAGGATAATCATCATCATCTTCCTCGAGTCAGCGTAATATGTTTTTTTATCCATATTATAAAAAGATTTGGCCTATAGTTCAGGCAGCATTGACATATTTCCATAAATACAATAAACTATGTTTTTTTAACAGTTGGCGCACTTGGACATGGCCCCGAACTTTGCGGGCACGTTGATGGGTGTCACGGACTACCTCGCCAGTGCCACCGGTGTGATGGTACCGACGGTCGCTAGTCTCCTTATGCAAAATGAGGTAAACACATATCGATATTTATTCTACTCTTCACAACCTTCAAGAAAAGTGCATATTCCTTTTTAAAAGGCCGGCAGCACACCTGCAATAATCCTGGTGTTGCTGGTGATCATGAGCGGCGGTAATCACTTACCATTCAGTAGTTGCCGCTCTTGGTAAGCGTGTTGGCAACCGCAGTTAGACTTTGGCGAGGTTTTAAGAGGGACGCTGCTGCCCATATCTCTACCATGAAGTTCTCTTAGTCGTCTCTAAGACACCCACGGGAAAGGAAAGAGTGACCTTTTTATTCTATGCCGAGACCGTACAGCTAGTATAGTTTTATATACTGTATATATATCTGTTTACTTGCAGACCGACCAGATAGAATGGCGTAAAATGTTTTTCCTGACGTCATTTATTTACTTCGCTTGCAATACTTTGTATGTTTTATACGGTACATGCGAGAAACGGAAATGGAATGAACCTAAGAGTAAATCAGCTTCTAAGGATAATGGTAAGAACTTATGATTGTAACAACATTCTTTCGTATCTTGCTACGTTTGGTAAAATTTGGACTATCATTAATAATAATAATAACTGAGGCATTGAGGACATCTGTCGGGCATGTCATCATCTCGGAGAGTCACTCAGAAATGTGCTTTCGAATTGGTCAACTCTTGCCAACACTGAGTACTTGCACAGACACAACTAGGTAGCCAAAATACTCCATCAAGAGCTAGCTTTGAAGTACGGCAACGCGAATGAGAGGTTGCCGTACCATAAGTACCATAAGTAAGCCGGTCCTCGAAAACGACAGCGTCAGGCTCTACGCTAGAAATATGGGGGGTGACGTCCGCCAAAATTATTCCAATCGTTCTGACGGTGAACGATCTTATCCTAACTAGTCTGGAACAATATCTGAGACGGTTGGGATTTCGAGGTGGCTTACTCTCGGGAAAGATGCAGAAAGCGGTGCACTTAGATACTGCCCATATTGTATGCCATTTTCTCTCCCTGGAGCCTTGAATCCCGGCCGATTGTGCTTCTGCCGGGGGTTAGTTTGCCATCCTTGATCTATCCATCTATCTTCTTACCACACTGGGTTTGCTAGAAGAGAATTCCTGCAAAGTGCTTGCCTGTACATCTTTATTTAATATAAATTTGATGATTGTAATTTTTTTTTGTATATAATGAGGTATAAATAAACATTGTAGGCAGCTGTGTAGTACATAGTCGTACAGGCTTACATTACCCTATCTAGGTAGCTGAGAACTACTTTCAGATATGATAATGTAATGCCCTAATCTTGTTAAAATAATAGACAACGTGTTGAAGCAGGTACCGTTTTAAATAACAAAGAATTAAGCATTAATGGAAGTCTTTTGAATCGTACATAACTACCTGCATTCTTTATTTGAAAGAGAGAGGTTGATATACAAATGTACTGTTAAAACAAATATTGTTGCATCCATCCGAATTCGCTTATTGTAATAGCGGTTACATACACCCCAACCACGGAGAATGTTAAACTCAGACGTCATCGCCCGAGGCACGCACTCTTAGACCCCGACAATCCATACACTGGCCAACGCGCCTATCCTCCCTACCGCTGAATTTTCGTCTTCTCCAGGCACACCCACACACCGCACGCACCGTCTGCGCCGACGGGGACGAAAACCCTCGACATGCAGTTCGCGCGCGATTAGGTATGCGCACGAGCGTATCCCTCCGGTCCCACGTCCCCGCACGCCACGACCTACCGACCCTCCGTTCCTCGACGGGGATCGAAGTGTGGTGGCCTAAAACGAGGACCGATCCACTCTGACACCCTTGGGCTCACGCTGCAGTCCATAAATAAGAGCTGACACTCTGTCGCTCCTTTTTGCGGGCTTGGAATGCCTTCCATATTCGGCCATGCATATATGCCCGGTGAAGCTGTAAACATCATCTGCGGCCAACAGCATTAGCAATTTGAAAAAAAGAATGCTATTGGACTAGAATTTCGAAAATTTGTATTGGCGTATCGGAAAGGGATTATGTCCAGAAGTCGTTTGCATAGGTAGATACTCGATTTCTTTTCATGGATGATAATAGAATAGTAATCCCGCCTGCACTAACAGTACACGCTGGCGAGGAACAGTCAGTAAAAGATGATAGGTGAGAATGAAAAAGCAGGTCAGTTAGCCCATCGTAACGAGTTCACTTGGAATAGAACACGATAGTTTCCAGGACGAACCGCGAGGAGATCGACCTGACAGGGTGTATTGCTAGCAATGGGCTGGTAGTCTGTATTACTAGCAATTCCTTTCCCATCCCCTGCCTATAAGGAGTTGGCGAGAGTTATTTATAAAGTAAATTCAGGTTACATTTACGTTTTGAAGAGTGATTTGTTTTAAGTAACGTAATTAGTAGGGCCTATCTAGGACAACACCAGCTGAGCAAATGCCCAAACTGGCAAATAAGTTCACTACATCATTGTAAAGGCTGGTAAATATTTATTTTTACCCAGAGCGTCAGAACAGCTTCTAGGTAATTCAAACAATGTAATGTATGTAAATTCTGTTTAAAGAGTGGGATATGGGAGTGAATTTACAGAGTATAGAGGTCACCTGAGTATTCCACCCAGTACTATTCCATACTAGGTACACCTGAGTCTTCAGAAACTAACAATCCCTTCTCCCCCAATAATGCAATGATAGCCCCTCCTGCACCGACGGTATACGCTGGCAGGACACCAGTAAGGGATGATAGGTGAAATAGAAAAGGCAGGTCAGTTAGCCCATCGTGATGAATACACCTCAAATTCAGAACGATGATTTCCAGGAGGGACCACGTGGAGGTCGACCTAACAGGGTATGGGGCTAGCAATGGGAATGGTAGTCTGTATTATTAAATATATGCACTTACATATATATAGACTTACAACATTTAGACCACAAACATTAAGAGTTCAAATCCGGCAGAAATAAAAAAATTTATCTCAATTTATAAATTTAAATATACGATTTTTTTTTTGTTTCAGATACAGCAGAAACAAAATCAGAGAAAAGTGTATGAACCAGCATTTAATATTGACAATCATTTGAAACAATTAAATAATATTTATTTATTTATTTGAATGCTTCTGTACATTCACTTTTAACATTTAGTTCTTTTAGAATTATTTTGTTTAATTCCCAGTTATTCGGTCAACACTAAACTCTGAGAAATCATATATTAATTTGCGTATCATTAAGGGTGAAACACGATATGTGTATGGACTGAATTATGGTCGGAGATTAATTACTACCATGGAAGGTCGTAGAACTTCCACTATTTTATTTTTTATTTTATTTATTTATTTATAGGAACACCAACAGCATATTGCATTATAACATATAGTTATAACAACATTAAATACAATACAATATTAATGCACACGCCTATTATAGGTATTCACAGCATTCACTTTAACATAATTATACAGTGTAAGAAATTTAAGTAAATAACAAAAATAAACATGTAATCTAAGTTGTGAGCAATATCAGAAAATAAGATTATGAGTAAATTAAATTAAAAAAATATTAAAAAAATATATATTATGACAATTAGAGTTAATGTTCATAAGATTGTTGTACAAAGTGCTTCAGCAATTTATTCCTATAGGAATTTGAATTATCGTACACTATATCAATTTCAGGTAATTTGGCATTAATTTCATTGTATGACGCACTAATCCTGGCCAGAGGTTGATGCAGTCCTAGGTTTGTTCTGCAGCGCGCACTAATAATAATAATAATAGTAAATTCTCAAATATTGCCTGTCACTCGCATACTAAGTAAGCAGAGTGGCAGTCCACCACCGTGTATTTTTCAAGGCACTTTCTTCCACGCACAACCACTCTTTGGAATCAACTTCCAGCAGCAGTATTTCCGAACCGATACGACAACATAACCTTCAAGAAAGAGCATATTCCTTTTTAAAAGGCCGGCAGCACACCTGCAATGCCTTTGGTGTTGGCAATGCCATGGGCGGCGGTAGTCACAATCGGCTGAGCAGCAAGCTCGTTTGCCACGTGTTGTAAAAAAATATTTACTTGCCAAAAAGGCTATTTGAGTATACTGAATATAAATAAGAATTTAATAAATAAGATATTATTTAAAATACTACAGTACCATATGTTATTTGTTTACTCTTTATTGCACTACTGTTTTTTTTTTATACAACTTAGAATGGCAAACAAGCTGACGGCCCACCTGATGGAAAGTGGTAACCGTCGCCTATAGATATGAGCAGTACCATGGACATAACAGAGTATACTGTTTCGCCCATAATACCCTTCATGCGTTGCCATTCCTGAGGATTCAGGTGTTATTCCTCTGTACCCAGTAAATTCACGCCATATCCTACCACCCTTCAAACCGAAACACAGCCATGCAAACACAACTGCTTCACGGTAGAAACACGAATGGGACAGAGGTACCCAAGCAATTACTTTCTACTATACTAAGTGTGGATTGCATCGACTTATTATACTCGTCATCATCATCATCCTAGCGGTTTATCCCGGTCGCATCCGAAACCTAATAGCTCCGGAGTCCAGGGTCCGCTGAATCGACTTACTATAATCGTAACTGGAGGTTTTGACCATCAATAACCAGCCGTTACGGCTTCACCAGCGAACGCCGAGCTCATGATCTACCAAAGTATAAGATATGCTCTGCTATAGGTATGATTTCAGAGGGGCCCCACGTTTTTATTTTAGTCTAATATGCCTAAAAGCTATTCTGCCTAGTACTAAAATATTTCTGAACTAGAAGGTCAAAATACCTACTTGTTATAGTGTGGGCTGCTTAGTTTACCTACCAAGCAAACCCTGGTGTTAGTGTTCTCTCATGAACTGCCTTTCGGCCGCTGACATGGTTCATGTTATGACAACCACTACCATCAGAGATATTAATGACCGAGATCACCTACGTAGGTTGATAGGTAAGTAACTATTTATTTATTTTGTAGTTTTCAGTGCACATAAAATAAAACCGTTTAACTTAAAAGTTTTTTTTACCGATTTTTATTTTCTTGTTTTTAGTATTTAGTGAAATTGTTTACCGAATATTCCTCATTCTATTTAATTCATTCAGTGCATCATTATTACATGGTTTCTTACCTGATAATTTAGTACAATCTAATTCCTCAATAGATACATAGCCCTTCCAGAGACTTGACTCGACTTAGAGCCACGTATGCTTGTCCTTCCTCAAACCATTTTGAGCCCAAATATACTACTGCATGGTCGACGGTGCTGCCCTGCATTTTATGGACGGTGAATGCCCATGACAAAACTAAGGGCAATATCCTTTTTTCAGCCGTACCATAATTGAATTTTGCTGGAAACTGTATGGCTTTAGGGTAAATAACGTGTATGCCGTCTGTGCCAAAGTCAATTAAAACTGATGATATATCTGTTTCGTACATTTGGGTTCGATGGAACTGAGGCCAAAAAGGTGTCTGAGTGTCAAGTGTCTGAAAGTCTAGTGTCTGAGTGTCTTGTATCCGAGTGTCCAGTGTCTGAGTGTCTAGTGTCTAGTGTTTAGTATCTGAGTGTCGAGTGTCGAGTGTCTAGTGTCTGAGTGTCGAGTGTCTGAGTGTCTAGTGTCTAGTGTCTAGTGTCTAGTGTCTAGTGTCTAGTGTTTAGTGTCTGAGTGTCGAGTGACGAGTGTCGACTGTCGAGTGTCGAGTGTCTAGTGTCTGAGTGTCTAGTGTCTGAGTGTCTAGTATCTGAGTGTCTAGTGTCTGAGTGTCTAGTGTCTGAATGTCTGAGTGTCTGAGTGTCTGAGTGTCTAGTGTCTGAGTGTCTGAGTGTCGAGTGTCGAGTGTCGAGTGTCGAGTGTCGAGTGTCGAGTGTCAAGTGTAGAGTGTCGAGTGTCGAGTATCGAGTGTCGAGTGACTAGCGTCAGAGTGTTTAGTGTCTGAGTGTCGAGTGACGAGTGTCGACTGTCGAGTGTCGAGTGTCGAGTGTCTAGTGTCTAGTGTCTAGTGTCTGAGTGTCTAGTGTCTGAGTGTCTAGTGTTTGAGTGTCTAGTGTCTGAATGTCTGAGTGTCTGAGTGTCTGAGTGTCTAGTGTCTGAGTGTCAGAGTGTCTAGTGTCTGGGTGTCTGAGTGTCTAGTGTCTAAGTGTCGAGTGTCGAGTGTCGAATGTCGAATGTCGAGTGTCGAGTGTCAAGTGTCGAGTGTCGAGTTTCGAGTGTCTAGTGTCTGAGTGTCTAGTGTCTGGGTGTCTGAGTGTCAAGTGTCTGAGAGTCTAGTGTCTGAGTGTCTTATATCCGAGTGTCGGAGTGTCTAGTGTCTAGTGTTTAGTATTTGAGTGTCGAGTGTCTAGTGTCTGAGTGTCTAGTGTCTGGGTGTCTGAGTGTCAAGTGTCTGAGAGTCTAGTGTCTGAGTGTCTTATATCCGAGTGTCAGAGTGTCTAGTGTCTAGTGTTTAGTATTTGAGTGTCGAGTGTCGAGTGTCGAGTGTCTAGTGTCTGAGTGTCGAGTGTCTGAGTGTCTAGTGTCTAGTGTTTAGTGTCGAGTGTCGAGTGTCGAGTGTCGGGTGTCGAGTGTCGAGTGTCGAGTGTCGAGTGTCGAGTGTCGAGTGTCGAGTGTCGAGTGTCGAGTGACGTCGAGTGTCGAGTGTCTGAGTGTCTAGTGTCTGGTGTTTAGTGTCTGAGTGTCGAGTGTCAGAGTGTCTAGTGTCTGGGTGTCTGAGTGTCAAGTGTCTGAGTGTCTTGTATCCGAGTGTCCAGTGTCTGAGTGTCTAGTGTCTGGATGTCTGAGTGTCTAGTGTCTAGTGTTTAGTATCTGAGTGTCGAGTGTCGAGTGTCGGGTGTCTAGTGTCTGAGTGTCGAGTGTCTGAGTGTCAAGTGTCTGAGTGTCTTGTATCCGAGTGTCCAGTGTCTGAGTGTCTAGTGTCTGGATGTCTGAGTGTCTAGTGTCTAGTGTTTAGTATCTGAGTGTCGAGTGTCGAGTGTCGGAGTGTCTAGTGTCTAGTGTTTAGTATTTGAGTGTCGAGTGTCTAGTGTCTGAGTGTCTAGTGTCTGGGTGTCTGAGTGTCAAGTGTCTGAGAGTCTAGTGTCTGAGTGTCTTATATCCGAGTGTCAGAGTGTCTAGTGTCTAGTGTTTAGTATTTGAGTGTCGAGTGTCGAGTGTCGAGTGTCTAGTGTCTGAGTGTCGAGTGTCTGAGTGTCTAGTGTCTAGTGTTTAGTGTCGAGTGTCGAGTGTCGAGTGTCGGGTGTCGAGTGTCGAGTGTCGAGTGTCGAGTGTCGAGTGTCGAGTGTCGAGTGACGTCGAGTGTCGAGTGTCTGAGTGTCTAGTGTCTGGTGTTTAGTGTCTGAGTGTCGAGTGTCGAGTGTCAGAGTGTCTAGTGTCTGGGTGTCTGAGTGTCAAGTGTCTGAGTGTCTTGTATCCGAGTGTCCAGTGTCTGAGTGTCTAGTGTCTGGATGTCTGAGTGTCTAGTGTCTAGTGTTTAGTATCTGAGTGTCGAGTGTCGAGTGTCGGGTGTCTAGTGTCTGAGTGTCGAGTGTCTGAGTGTCGAGTGTCGAGTGTCGAGTGTCGAGTGTCGAGTGTCGAGTGTCGAGTGTCGAGTGTAGAGTGTCGAGTGTCGAGTGTCGAGTGTCGAGTGTCGAGTGTCGAGTGTCGAGTGTCGAGTGTCGAGTGTCTAGTGACGAGTGTCTAGTGTCTAGTGTCTGAGTGTCGAGTGTCTGAGTGTCTTGTGTCTAAGTGTCGAGTGTCGAGTGTCGAGTGTCTAGTGTCTGAGTCTCTAGTGTCTGAGTGTCTAGTGTCTAGGTGTCTGAGTGTCAAGTGTCTGAGAGTCTAGTGTCTGAGTGTCTTATATCCGAGTGTCGGAGTGTCTAGTGTCTAGTGTTTAGTATTTGAGTGTCGAGTGTCGAGTGTCGAATGTCTAGTGTCTGAGTATCGAGTGTCTGAGTGTCTAGTGTCTAGTGTTTAGTGTCTTAGTGTCGAGTGTCGAGTGTCGAGTGTCGAGTGTCGAGTGTCGGGTGTCGAGTGTCGAGTGTCGAGTGTCGAATGTCGAGTGTCGAGTGACGTCGAGTGTCGAGTGTCTGAGTGTCTTGTGTCTGGTATTTAGTGTCTGAGTGTCGAGT